AATAGGATTGTCTTTCAAAATGTGTCTTGTAATGGAACAGATCTCACTATTACATTAATATTTTGAGAGTACTTTGTATGAATGCTTTGATCCGTCTAGAATTACAGTGTTTACAAAGGGTTTTCTACATCAAAATTATAATTGCAACACATCTTATTTTGTTAAAAGTTTGAATCAGGATATTGTGTTGAAACATATTTTATTAGATAAAGGATGTATATATGTAATTAAAAAAATGAATTATTACAAATGTTATATTAACCCCTTAAGGACACATGACATGTGTGACATGTCATGATTCCCTTTTATTCCAGAAGTTTGGTCCTTAAGGGGTTAAAGAAGAAAACAACTGAGAAGCTGTGAGAGAAGAAAAATGTTTATCTTCTTTGACATGAAATGAACTATACAAAACCGATTTGACATTTGACAATATAAGATGTATATGATTATACAACGTTTCCAAGATATCTCAGCTTCTTGTGTTTGTAAACAAAAATATTAGTGGTCTTAAAAATCAGAATAAGCAAGAAAAGATTTACAATAGTATTTCTTTTAAAAGATCCATGAGATTTACTAGTCTGACTGGAAGTATTCAAAAGTAACATAAATGTACATTTGATAAGTTTTTCTAGCAGCCTGTTATTTTTGAATTGATTATTTTTGAAAAGCTTATCCAAAAAAATTCAATTGAGGCCCCTCTTCCTCCTAAACAGCACAACCTATATATGACCCATCACAAAAGCGCCATGTGCACTTTTGATATCTGCCCGAATAATGCGATCAGGGTTTAAAATATCAAGTCCTATGCCACTGGCTAGTGGAACTTTAAGCACTGGTTATGAAATTGTATGATGTTAAATACCTGCATTGTGCCATGAAGTAGTACTGAGATGTATGCAGTGGATAAATTCACACCTTTCTGCTCCAAAAATGCCCCATTTAGGGGTAAAATAAAACAATAATGAAGAAAAAAACAAAATGCTTCCGTTAACAGTACCTTCAAAAATATGGAGCCCAGAGCAGAGGACCTGCTTTCCATTAACCAAGGTCAGGCCTTGTATGATAACTGATAGCATCTCTTCATTCTTTGTACTACACTGGAAGAATTTTGTAACAAAAATCACAAATACTGATGTATTAAGACAGGTCGGCTTTCTTCTTTCTAAGATGGGGCAGACAACATGCAGTAATCCCAAAGTGAAGTATGTTAATAAAAAATGGTCACGAAATCCTCTAGTGTAGGTAGCGTGGTGACAATTTAGTGTGGCATTTCGTCAAAGCTAAACCCCTGTTAATGAGTTGTCAAACTTCAGTCTTCAATAGTATGTTCATAAGGAAGAATCTTGCAAATTCTATAGAAGACATATACTCCAGAAATTGCCTTAGGCTGCATACAGTATACATAGCCTCCTTTGGGTAGAACTATCTACAGACACACTAAATAAATGATTGCTTACCACACTCCATTCATATAGAATGTGGTTGTTGTGTAAAATTTAACTACAAAGTATGTTCATATGATTTATCACTTATTCTTAGATTGGTCACATGGGATGGAGCTTTCTAATGGTGGTAGCTCATAACCTTGAAAATGGGTGCCACAAACATTCCATTTAGACATATCTTAGTTAGTCTCCTCTACTCCAGTTTTAGGCGTATATCATAGGTTTGCAGTCAAATACTATTTACACATTATTGGTATTAACAAACTGTAAGTTACAATGTGGGTTCCAATATATTTGGAAGAAAGACCTGGGGTGCAAGTCCACTAAGGTGGAATGGCTGTAAAATTATCCAAACATATATTTTGTGGCTGCTTATACCCTGAAGGACTGTGTAGTTTTGGCTCTAAACAATGAATAAGTGTCAGGTCCCCTGCCCCTGCGCCGATTGCTTACCCCATCACCGCGAGCAGTGTCTTCCAGTTCCTGTCCATGGCTTGCAGCTGTTCCTCCAGCCGCTCCCCAACCTGACAGTGTTTCTGACGCTGCACGCTCCAATACAGCTTCCTTATATGTGTGTCAGACCCGGTCATGTGACCCGGCACACAGTGATGACCTCATTGATCACAAGAGAGGGAAAAGACACCTCCCATGTGTTGTAATGAACACTAATTGGAAGTTAGCCAATCAGACACACCCTGTGTATATAAGTTTACCTCCCCCTTGCCTCAGTGCCCTGTTGTGGTCTTTCATAGCCCAATAGCGCATTTATATTGTAGTTCATTCTCTGGTTACTGACTTTGGCTAATTTCTCGTTTACTCTGTTTTCTGTGATCCTTTACCTCGGCTTGTACCTTGACAAAGTCTCTTTTGCATAGCCCGGCCATTCTAAGGACCGGTATTGCAATTCTGTGTGTCTATGATCTGTCTGTGTGTTTGGGTTCTCCTAGTAATCATGACAATAGGGAATATAAAGTGCGCCGATCAGTCTGATTGGCTCCTTATGTAAAGAGGTTTGTACCAATACAGGAGTAGTACCTCCCACTCCACAGCAAGACTGGAAGTTCAGATAGGCATTGTGTCAATTATAAATAATATTTACTAAATAAAATAAACTAAAAAAAAATCAATCAAAATGGAAACACAAATCCATCAAAACATCTAGTAAATGACACAATGTCTTGTCTCGTAAGATATGTTACACAGATCTCACAAGGTTTTCTCAATCACATTACTCAGGTCGTAAGTCCCGCTATTTAACTACCTATACAACATCACACATCACCATCTTCACGGAGGTTCCTCACTTTTCAACCAACAAACAAGATCTTCACGTAGGTCCCTCCCTTTTCAACAAACACTCTCTGCTCCATAATGTTTGATTCTACCAATCACATTTAAGATCGATCATCTCCTCCTCCCTACATCCACTTATAGGTAAATATCTATTTGTTAACTCTCTCCATTGGTGCGAATAAAGCTCTCTGGTAACCAGACAAAAATACAAACATAAATCACAACCAAATTATAAAGTTGGCTACATAATATGCATCATTACCAAATTTAAGATTGTAGGATAATTACAGCCTGAAATGCAAATGAGACTAAAACTACATATGAAAACCCGCTTCTGCAATTAACTGCTTTGATGATCAATACTAAAGTAACAATTCACTTGAATGTAATGGATAGCAACAGGATAAATGAAGGATGAACAGGCAAACAAAGGAAAACTTGAATCCAAAATATAGATTTTAAAAAGTCTATTAGTAAAAAAAGACTTAGAAATTGCATTCAAATAAAAAATAGAGGCAAATCTTGTAAAGCTCATGTATATTTTAAAATATAAAATATAACATATTAATAGCGACATAAAATATCCCATAAAAGTTTATTAAAAAATCATAAGCCTAAAACATGCATAATAAAAATTATAAAAGCAACTTTCTTGGAAATACTTTATGATTTGGGATATGTAGAAGGTACTAAATAAGCTATAGTGGGGGGGGGCCTGACTGTAATGGCACCTAGGCGTGTTTCCTAAGAGCTCCTGGGGAGAAACTCTCTATACCCTGATCCAAATTATTATGCAAATTATATTTTTCTCATTTGGCTGTCCACCAACCATCCACTACTCCATCCATCTAAACCATCCAGGGTTGCACGGCACTCATTAGTGAACAGGACTGTTTGAAAATTAGTCTTCATGTATTTTTCTGCCTAATGCAGCCGTTTCTGCTTGTGAGCATTAGTTAGTGGTGGCCGAATAGAAGGTTTTTTGCACAGTTGCAAGACTCTGGAGGACTCTACACCTTGATGTCCATGGGACTCCAGAGGCACCAGCAGCTTCAAATATCTGTTTGCTGCTATGTAATGGTATTTTAGCAGCTGCTCGCTTGATCCGATGCAAGGATCTGGCAGAAATCTTCCTCAATGTGCCTTTATCTGCACGAACCCGTCTGAGCTCTGAATCAGCCACAAATCTCTTATTAGTACAATGATCACACTTAAAGGGACACTCCAGGCACCCAGACCACTTCTGCCCATTGGAGTGGCCTGGGTGCCAACTCCCACTACTCTTAACCCTGCAAGTGTAATTATTGCAGTTTTTATAAACTGCAATAATTACCTTGCAGGGTTAACTCCACCTCTAGTGGCTGTCTAGACAGCCACTAGAGGGCACTTCTGTGTCCCTTGCACTGGAAACCTGTGCTAGAGCATCGCTTGACGTCCTCACGCTGTGTGAGGACCTCCAGCGTCACTCATTTCCCCATAGGAAAGCATTTTTAATGCTTTCCTATGGGGAGCTCTAATGTGCATGCGCGCGCATTAGGTCTCCCTGGTCGGTGGGCAGGATCAGTCTCACCGGCCGATGTAATACAGAGGAGGAGTGGCGGCAGAGGAAGAAGCAGCAACGTGGGACATTGTCGCTGCCTCAGGTAAGTCCCTGAAGGGGTTTTCACCCCTTCAGCAACCAGGGATTGGGGGGTGGAAGGGAGAGGGGACCTGCAGTGCCAGGAAAACGGATTGTTTTCCTGGCACTGAAGTTTCCCTTTAAGTTTTCGTGAAATATCTAATGTTTTCATACCTCGTCCAAGGCATTGAACTATTTCACTCTTTTCGGCAGCAGAGAGATCCTTTTTCTTTCCCATATTGCATGAAAATGGTGCTCTGCTTAATAATGTGGAACACCCTACTTTAGTAGTTTTTCCTTAAATTGGGCTCACCTGGCAATCTAATTATCACAGGTGTCCGAGATTGTTTTCAGTGATCAAAAGAGCCCTGAGACACAATGCCATCCATGAGTTGAACTGAAAAACAAAATATTTAATCTTTGTGACACTTAAATAGAATTTGCATAATAATTTGGAACAGGCTGTATAAGCTTGATCTGGCATCTGTCTCACAATTGAGGCCTAGCTGATGCTGAAGAAGGGAGAGGCGGCCACTCTCCTCAACTGGCGAACGCAGGGCTCTACAGAACAAAGCGAGTGCCCCGTAAACCCCCCTTTCGACCGGAAGGGGTGATCCTGGTCCCCACCCTGAAGGCTACCCTACCTTCATAGGGCTGTGTGTCAGTGCCGCAGATACTCGTGGCTCTGACAGCAATGCTTGCAAGATGGCAGGCACTGGATATGCCCCAAACTCCATGGGTGAAGCATCTAACCGCCTACAGCGGCTGGATGCCCTATTCAAAGCCTTCTGGAAAAAGCCCACAAAAAGTTGAGGGCAGACCAGTATCAGCTCTGCATACTCTACCAGCACGCAAGGGGAGAGAGAGCAGCTGGATGGAGAGGACAGCATCTACACATTAGGGAACCACAGATGATACCTTCCATGCTAGACTCGCATAAAGGCAGCCTTGGCTGGGATAGTCTCATCCCCATCACAGGAATAGGCTCACCGTAAGAATGGAACTTATGCTGCTTGTGCACACACAGCCTATAGGTATCCCTTACTGATTACGTATTGCCAAGTTACCTTATGTTTTATCCCATCTTGCCCAGAAGATAGTTGTCCTACTGTTACACTTAATGGATAGTCTCTTCATGTCCATGGAGCTCCCTAGGGTGGTGCACCATATTAATGTTTTTTTAATATAGATCCAGCATACTTACCCGATCACTGTTTCGTCATGCATATTTAAACTGTCTACTTCATTGATGCCTATTCATGTTTAGCCTGTTTACCCTATTATAAAAAAAAAACAGTGCTGTTTTTCTAGTATGCCATGACAATAATTGTTTCTCATGTGCTTGCTACTGCTGTTGTGGCACTGCAAGATTTGTGATCTATATCCTTGCACACAGCAAAAATACAGAATTATAAAAAAAAAGTCTCTAGTGAACAAAAACATTTGATTTGAGAAGTCAACAGTATTCTATTGCAGAAATACACATTACTCATTTCTGAGTTATCTGATACGCCTAAAAGTCTATTTGTATCCACTAGAACTTTTACATTTTTAACTTTCCGTATAAAACTACATAGATAATACCTTGGGTTTTCAGCAGGTAGAGACATTTAGATTTTCTGAAAGGACATTTAAATTTGATGGAGGAAGAAAGGTTCAGTACTTGACCAAGTGACACTGTCTGCTTGCACAAAGCAATTACTTCACTTTTGCATGCTCATTTGCTCAGCGAGAATATTGGAAAGCTGAATGTTTAAAACTTTTTCAATGATTAACATTTTCCTTTGTTTAACCACTTAAGGACATATGCAATTGTACACATTCTAATCAAAACAAAATGTAAACAAAATCTTTCATTTATGCTATGTGTTTGTTTAATCACAATTTACCTCTTTCATATTAAGTGCACCCACACTTGTTATACACTGCTCAAAAGAATAAAGGGAACACAAAAATAACACATCCTAGATCTGAATGAATTAAATATTCTTCTGAAATACTTTGTTCTTTACATAGTTGAATGTGCTGACAACAAAATCAGCACAGACAGTCCCCCTGCAGGCAGACACATGGACACCTATTGTGACCATGTGATCACTCTGTTGAGCAATCACATGGCCACAGGGGTCCTAATCCGGTGTGGGGAGACTGTCTGGGTTGCAGGCAGTCTCCCCACACCGGGAGCAACGCTGATCGCCGCCGGGGGAACGACAGCGATCAGGTAAATAACTAGGACCGTTAGGACGGTTCAGGACCGTCAGCGGTCGGCAATGGGAAAATGCCGATGACGGTCCTAAACCGTCCGCGGTCCTTAAGGGGTTAAAGGACATCCTCCTATCCTTGATACACGTTAGTAACTTTAAACTGAACTTCGACAAGTCAGAGGTGTTAAATGTTACAGTCTTAACACCGGACGTAGACAACCTGAAGACACACTTCCACTTCCGATGGTGCACAGACCGCATCAAGTACTTAGGGATATGGGTCCCTCGAAACTCACAACAGCTGTAGCAACTCAACTTTCAACCCTTGCTCTCTTGCCTATTTTCAGATCTTAAAACATGGACCACGCCTCATTTCTCCTGGACTGGTTGCATCAACTCCATCAAGATGAAAGTACTACCTCGGATCCTCTACCTGTTCTAGACAATCCCAATCAGCCTTCCATCCACCTTTAGATCCCTAAACTTGGCCTTAGTAAAGTTCATATGAAAAGGACGCAGACCACAACTATGTCTAGGGCAACTGACAAGACCAAAGTGTGAGGGATTTTTTGGCCTACCAGACATACTGGGCAACGCATCTCTCAAGAATTGTGGCTTGGCATGATAACAGCTCTCGAAAGATCTGGAAAAGACTGGAAAGGGAAGTCGTGTGTGGGGGTATCCCTGGAATGATGTGGCTGATGAAACGTCCAGAAGATTGGTACGTGAGCAACCTTTTATTGGGGCGACCTTGAAGGTCTAGTGCCAAACCAATTTTCTGCTCTCCCTCACAACGCTAACCGGCCCAATGTACCCGGTCACTGGCAAACCAGCATTCCCTATCGGACAAGTAATACAGGCCTTGGAGTTGGGGAAAGGCCTTCACATCCATCTCTTGGAACTTTTCAGGGGAGATGCTTTGATACCTCTCCGGGAATTCCTGCAAGACTGCTCACCCACTCTAATTGGATGCTTCAGGTACCACCAACTGACCTAATTTTTTTTTTATTATTTTTTTTTGGTATGCAAGTAGGTATAACAGTGCCTGTGTTGCCACAACAGCGTCAGCAGGCTCAATTATCATAGTTATAACAGCTGTGTGGCATGTTAGGTTTGCATACATGTTTTAAAATAATATAAGTAATGGTAAAGTAAAAAAAACTATTATCAATATGATTTTGGGTACAACAACAAGTTTTGTTTCTTTCTAGGCACGCATATGGCATTCCTAGGTACTTCCAGGTTTAATAATATGTTGAATGGGTTAAGTTATTTTTCAAGCTAGAACAACAACATTATTTTCATAGTAGGGTTAGGTAGTTGCTCTGAAACAGGTTAACAAGTTTAGTTAGAACATATCTAATCTAGTAATGACTCTTATACTGTAGGTACCCATATCGAAGCAAGCTTGTAGTGAGAAACTTGTACGAGATTCTGATATATGTGGACAAGCTAAAACTCAATAAAGATTAATCATTAAGTTAGCTCTGGTTAGGTCCCTGAGGGGAACTAAATAGATGAGTAAGTGCAATCTGCTGAAATTCGACCAAGCATAAAATTTACTTTGACATATGTTTGTTAATATTGCCTTTTCCGGTACCGGCAAGCTGGGTATGGCTGTAAGTCCTGAGGGTGGCACGGCTACCTCGCTCGAGGGCACATGGCACTGTCAGCCAATGCCTCGGCTCGGCAGAGCCATACCGTCCCTGGAGGATCGCCTGGGTGCGTGTCTGTGGCAGATCAAGCTGTGGTTTTCGTCTGGCTGCTCGTTTGTCCCACTCTTTCTCAACCCAGGCTTGCTCAGGAGCTGTAAACTTGACTTCTTGGGCTCGAGGGCTCTCTATGCTGAAAGCCTGCTTGCTGGCATGTCTCAGCCTGGACCGTGTGACCTTTCTGGCAGCATATGAGCGTTTGACCTGTCTCCTCTGTAGAGCGGCTCTCTGCCGGCGAGGACGGCATGCTGGGAGCAAACTGTGACGGCCACTCAGCCCTCGTAGGCACAACCGGGCGGGTGTTGGGTGTTTAGGTATTGATATGCCCCTTATAGGTTTCTGGAGCCCATTTGCCCCATGCTTCTTACCACGTTCGTCAGCTGCAGGTTGTGATTGTGTCCGGCCTGAGCGCTATTCCAGCTTGGCCCAGAAGTGCCTGCATATGGCATCAAATCTGGAAAGTATGCTTGCGGAGTTGAGGCCGCGTGGTGTCTGGCTCTGGAGCTCATGCTTGTATACGGTAGCCATTTTGAGTAGCCCAGTCTCCGGATCAAACTGAGGTGAGGCAGTCAGTGTTTAGGTAGCTATTAGGCTCGTCTGGTCTAGTGGCGACCGGGATAATCCCCACTGGTCTGAGGGGGGTGGAGAAACGGGACAGCTGGGTATCGCCTCGAGGGCAAAGCTTGTGGAGGACGGGAGATCGGCCGCCTCTGCCGCCCGTTCACTGCACTAGACCTCGCTGGAAACCCCCTGAAACGTGCAGAGTGAAGTCCACAAAAGGTACCACCAGGTTTCTCTGTAGGCTCCCAAGTTAAGTAAGTCGCTTGGGAGTTGGTGGAGCAGCTTAATCGTGGGATCAGGCCGGGAGCTTTCACCAGACACGTCCAGCCGCCATGCAGCTCAGGCCCCGCCCCCCCAACTGACCTACCTTAATGACTCGGTTGCCTGCCAACTAAAACTTATGAAGCTGTTGCTCCCATTTGAACACATATGCTAGAAAAGAGAAGACCTCCACCATAGTATCTTAGTTCCATATGCCCTTTTGCAGATGGCAGAAACAATCCCCCTACTGAAGTAGCAATCACTCTGAGAAGATGCCTTACCTACCTCGTTCACTCCTCAGGAATAGGACAAGATGTCCACATGCATAACCCTGTCAGGTATACCTAACATTCATGCTGCCGCCGGAACCCACTTCCGGGTTCACGGCGCTTAGCTCCGCCCTTTTTTCTGACGCGGTCTTTCCACGATACTTAGGAAGACCGCGCCAGATTCAAAGGGCTGGATTATTCACTCAGGTGCAGCAGTAAGATCAGCTGCTCTACTCGATGCTACCGGCTCCTCTCTCAGACCTCGGCTTGTAAACGGATTTCTACCTTCTCATCTCTCAGACCTCGGCTTGTAAACGGATTTCTACCTTCTCATCTCTCAGACCTCGGCTTATAAACGGAATTCTGCCTTCTCCTCTCCTCAGACCTCGGCTTGTAAACGGATTTCTACCTTCTCCTCTCTCAGACCTCGGCTTGGACAAACGGACTCCCTTTCTCTCACTACTAACTGCAGTTTGTTAAAAGAGACTCCTTCCTCTTCCTCCATTGGGTGAATTAACCCTTCCAGTGCCAGAGTGCTTCTAAGTTAAGTAAAACTTTTGCCAAGGAAAGCAAGTCATATTAATTTATTATAGTATTTATTTTCTTTTGACAAATAAGCATTGCATTTTTTCCTTGCATGTGTATTTAAAGATGCAGTCAACCTTGTTCACTTCAATAAAATAAAGGAGGTGAAACTTATTGTTTCTGCAGTTGAGTTCCAATTAAAGAGACATTACACAAAAGCATCACAGAATAATCCAGCCTTTTTCAATGGAACCAGCAGATATTAACTCTCAAGTTTCTGCCCTAACCAATAGAGTAGATACAATTGCTCAAGGGTTACAGGAATTGCAAATTACAAATGAGAGAATATTAACCTATGTTAAAGACATGCAAGGCCATCTTCCTCATGCCGCTCTTCAATCGGCTGGTGATCCTGCTGTCTGTAATCCAGAAAAATTTTATGGAGATAGAACAAAGTACAGAGAGTTTTTAAATTCTTGCAAACTTCTGATAGCTTTGAAACCTCGATCTTACCTCACTGAAAGGTCAAAAGTTTGTTCAGTAATTTCCTTTCTAAGAGGTGAACCTATGGCTTGGGCCCATTCCTTTTTAGAGAATGATGATCCCATACTAGATTCACTGGATGAATTTTTTGAAGCTATGTCTTTATTATATGAAGATCCATATAAACAGGCTACTGCTGATTTAACCATCAGAACTCTCCACCAAAAGAACAGACCTGTTGAAGATTACATCGCCGAATTTAAAAGATGGGCTACAGAAACCCAATGGAATGACATTACACTACGCAATCAATACCGTCTCGGATTATCAGAAGCTGTGAAAGATGAACTCTCTCGTATTGAACTTCCTCCCACCTTAAATGCATTGATTCAACTTTCCATTAGTATTGACAGACGTCTAAGAGAAAGAAGGGCTGAAAAAGTTCTTACTACTTCTAACTGGAGAAAACATTTTACTACTCCAAAATTTCCTGAAAAATCTCTTCCTCACAATGAACCTATGGAAGTTGGTATAATAAGAAGCCCTCTTACTTCGGAAGAAAGGATAAGAAGGAGACAACTAAATTTGTGCATGTATTGTGCTTCAAAAGAACATCTAATCCCAGAATGTCCCCTACTAATCCATTCGAAAGCTGATAAGCTTCATTCATCTACTTCTATATTGAACGTTCTTCACAAAAGGAAAACATCTACTTATTTTTCTATATCTCTCATATTACAGTGGGATACAAAAAGAATCGTGACTGAAGCCATTATTGATTCTGGTGCTAATGGAACCTTCCTTGATTTTTCTTTTGTTGCAAAGAATAAAATTCTGTGTGTTCGAAAAACCAATTTTATTCCAATCAGAGTTATTGATGGTTCATTCATTTCCTCAGGACCCATAAAAGATGAGACAATTCCTCTAAGAATGATTACCAATAACGTCCATACAGAATTCCTTACATTTGATGTTATTAAATCTCCACTTTATCCCGTCATTCTAGGAATTAATTGGTTAAAACTCATGATCCTTTAATTAAATGGTCACCCTTTTCCATTTCTTTTCCTTCTGACTTTTGCAAAAAAACCTGCTTCCAACATATTCCTATTCTCCAAACTACTCAGGAATCAATTATACCTCCATTCTACTCTGACTTTTCAGATGTCTTTTGTAAAAAAGAAGCGGAAATACTTCCACCTCATCGAGCATATGATTGCCCAATAGATCTAATACCTGGTGCTCCCATTCCTTATGGACACATTTATCCACTTTCTGAAAAGGAATTGCAGACCTTAAAAGAATATCTTAATGAAAATTTACGTAAAGGATTCATCAGACCCTCGACTTCACCGGCTGCCTCTAGTATATTTTTTGTGAGGAATAAGGACCAAACCATCCGACCCATTATAGATTACAGAGCCTTAAATAAAATAACCATAAAAAATCGTTATCCTCTTCCACTAATAAATGAATTAATTGAAAGGTTAAGAACTGCAACTATATTCACTAAACTCGACCTCCGAGGCGCATATAACCTCATTAGAATAAAACAGGATGATGAATGGAAGACCGCCTTCCGGACTAGATATGGTCTCTACGAATATCTAGTGATGCCTTTTGGGCTTTGTAATGCCCCTGCAACATTCCAACATTTTATAAATGATATCTTTAGAGATCTTTTGGATGTTTGTGTTATTATCTACTTAGATGATATTCTAATATATTCTAACAATTTGGATGAGCATAGGAAGCATGTAAGATGGGTTCTATCTAGATTGAGAACTCACAAATTATACGCTAAACCAGAGAAATGTCTTTTTGAAGTTACTGAACTCTCCTTTCTTGGATACATTATTTCACCTCATTCTCTGAAAATGGATAACTCTAAAATCGAATGTATTATTAACTGGCCCGTTCCTACTACTACAAAAGAATTGCAACGATTTCTTGGATTTGCAAACTTCTATAGAAAATTCATTAGAAACTACTCAGAGGTATCACATCCACTTAACCACCTTAACAGTACTAAACGTCCTTTCAAATGGAATAAAGATGCACAAGCTGCCTTCGACAGTTTAAAAAAAAGATTTACAACTGCACCTATTCTACAGCTACCTAATCCAACATTCTTGTATGTCCTAGAAGTCGATGCATCAGATTCAGCTATCGGAGCAGTTCTTTCTCAGCAAAAGACTCCTCAAGATCCACTTCATCCAGTCGCATTCTTTTCAAGATCCTTGAGCTCTGCTGAAAAAAATTATCCTATTGGTGAAAAGGAATTATTAAGTGTTAAAGCTGCCTTTGAAAATTGGCGCCATCTATTAGAAGATACAAAACAACCTATCATAGTCTATACAGACCATAAAAATCTTGAATATCTTTATACTAATAAAACCCTTACGGCTAGACAAGTTAGATGGAACCTATTTTTTAACCGGTTTAACTTCCAATTAATATACAGACCTGGAACTAGAAATAAAAAGGCTGACGCTCTTTCTCGAATTCCTTCTAAAACTTCTATTGAAGTTTATCCTCCTAACAAAATAATAGGGATCCTCTCTTCTCTTCAGGATGACTTAAGGAACTTGAATCAAAAGGATCTTGAACTTCCCAAAACACCTAATTTAACAAAAAAGGATGGTGTATTTTACTTTAAAAATAGGATTTATATTCCTCCCATTCTTAGGAACAAATTACTCAAAATGGTTCATGATTCACCCCTAGCTGGACATCCTGGAATAAAGAAAACTCTTGAACTAACTTCACGATATTATTGGTGGCCTCGCCAAGATAGAACCATTGAATTATATGTCAAAACTTGTCCTATCTGTCAAAGGTCCAAATCTGAACATAATCAACCTTTTGGATTACTACTTAACTTACCTATTCCAGAAAAACCTTGGCAATCCATTTCTATGGATTTTCTTGTTGACCTTCCTCCATCCCGACAGTTCACCACTATTCTTGTTGTTGTGGACCGCTTCACTAAAATGTCCCATTTCATCTCTTTAAAAAAATTACCTTCCTCCGTAGAATTGTCCAAAGTCTTTATTGATAATATTGTAAAGCTTCATGGTCTTCCAGAAGAAATTATTTCTGATAGGGGGACACAATTTACCTCCAAATTCTGGAAAGAGATGTGTCTCTCTCTTCAAATTCAACGCAAACTCTCTTCTGCCTATCATCCCCAAACTAATGGGCAAACAGAGAGAGTTAATCAATGTTTGGAACAATATCTCCGATGTTATTGTTCATACCTGCAAGATGACTGGACCACTTGGTTACCTATGGCTGAATTTTCTTACAATAATACCATTCATTCTAGTACGAAAATGACTCCTTTTTTCTCCAACTATGGTTTTCATCCGTCCTCATTTCCCATCCCATCTAATTCTTCATCCAATCCCACGGTTACTTCAAAAAATGAATTTATGTCTTCTCTATTCCTTAAATTACGGGAGAATCTTCAACTCGCCCAAAACTACCAGAAAAAGTTTTTTGACCATAAAAGAAGAATTCCCCCTCCTTATAAAGTGGGGGATCTTGTCTGGCTCTCTTCAAAAAATATTACCACAAACCGTCCTTCAAAGAAATTGAGCTCTCTTTTTCTTGGTCCTTTTCAAATAACTACAATCATCAATGATAACGTTGTTAAATTAAAACTTCCTCCAAGTTTTAAACTTCATCCAGTATTCCATGTCTCTTTGCTTAAACCACACATCCCTGATCCTTTCCATAGAGAAATAGTAACAACTCCTGAACCTATCATCGTCCAAGGTGAAGAAGAATATGAAATTCATAAGATTTTGGATTCTCGTATCCACCGTGGCTCTTTACAATACCTTATCAGATGGAAAGGTTATGGAGTTGATGAAGATACCTGGGAAGATTCATCTAATGTTCATGCACAGAGATTAGTTGATGCTTTTCACAAACGCTACCCCTCTAAACCGAAATAAGTGCACCCAGAGGATGCCCCATGAGAAGGGGGTACTGTCAGGTATACCTAACATTCATGCTGCCGCCGGAACCCACTTCCGGGTTCACGGCGCTTAGCTCCGCCCTTTTTTCTGACGCGGTCTTTCCACGATACTTAGGAAGACCGCACAAGATTCAAAGGGCTGGATTATTCACTCAGGTGCGGCAGTAAGATCAGCTGCTCTACTCGATGCTACCGGCTCCTCTCTCAGACCTCGGCTTGTAAACGGATTTCTACCTTCTCATCTCTCAGACCTCGGCTTGTAAACGGATTTCTACCTTCTCATCTCTCAGACCTCGGCTTATAAACGGAATTCTGCCTTCTCCTCTCCTCAGACCTCGGCTTGTAAACGGATTTCTACCTTCTCCTCTCTCAGACCTCGGCTTGGACAAACGGACTCCCTTTCTCTCACTACTAACTGCAGTTTGTTAAAAGAGACTCCTTCCTCTTCCTCCATTCGGTGAATTAACCCTTCCAGTGCCAGAGTACTTCTAAGTTAAGTAAAACTTTTGCCAAGGAAAGCAAGTCATATTAATTTATTATAGTATTTATTTTCTTTTGACAAATAAGCATTGCATTTTTTCCTTGCATGTGTATTTAAAGATGCAGTCAACCTTGTTCACTTCAATAAAATAAAGGAGGTGAAACTTATTGTTTCTGCAGTTGAGTTCCAATTAAAGAGACATTACACAAAAGCATCACAAACCCTCAGCTCTCCTCCACATATTCTGGTCCTGTCCACTCATAACGCCTTACTGGTAATAAATCTATGAGGCGATCCAGAAGGTAGCTGGTGAGGAAGTTGCTTTTGACCCGGCAGATATCCTACTTAACAAATCAGCCCTGCCCATATCGACATATAAAAAGGCAGTATCGAATCACCTACTCATGACAGCTAAAATCACTGATCCCAGTTCTGTGGCGGCAAAGAGAACTGCCAACGTTTCAAGCCTGGCTCCAAAGAGTGGAGAAGATCAGGTAGGTGGAACCAGAAATAGAGGCGGTGAGTGTAAGACTGGAGAAACATGAGGAGATCTGAAGAACGTGGACGTGATACCTGTGCACAAGAGAAGAACCTGGTAACCAACCGAGTGAGACGATGGCAACATCTCTTACTAGGAGGCACTGGCTCTGAGTACACATGCGGCAGAGTGGGCGGGCGAGGCCAGCGGGACAGGGGACGTGTACTCTATTCCCACCCATCCTTCCCCCACATTAATTTTTTCCCTCCTTTTGAACTATCATATCATACGTGTCTGAAATGTTTCACCAGCCTTTCTCATCTCATCAGCCCACCAATATCAAACGGAATTTACCTGGATCTAGCATTGTACTTCATTCTTCCCTCGTGAGCTTCGCTTAATGGATGAGTAGGTGACACACACATTGGGTTAACAATAGAAGCTTCCCTCGAGCATACTCAGGTCTGAGGTGCTCCTACGATTCTTAAATAGGACCAATATACTCTCATGTTCCCTTCCAAGGGTATAACCCATACGAACGACAGAGCAGGGGGACGACAGGGGAGACACCTTCAAGATGGATGAGACACTCCCCTAGTCCACGTAACCGCGGGATTCCCAGAAGATAAAAATGCATTTTTAAACTTATGGGGAAGTACTACGGGTATATCCTGGGCTATAGTGACCGGGCAACCTCGCATTAAAAAAAGGTTTTAATACCACAATACCTGAGCTAACTTTATCGTACAGATGGCTTCAGAAAGCTGAATTGTGTGAGATTGTACGTAAGAAACTCTAGCCTGAACCAAAAAACATTTAGTAAATTTTGCATTGCGGAATTCCCATGAGGGAAATGTTTACTTGAAAGCCTGTAACGACAAATTTTGTTTCACTGTCTTCTTATTTCTGTATTTCTAACTAATCTTGAAAAAAAAAAAACGAATAAAGATTGACAAAAAAACAACAACTTTTATTAACTTTTACAGAAATTGGTCTAATTAATTAGTTTTGTGTATTATTGTTTTATTCAATGACACAGATTCTCCTATTTTTAGAACAGGGGCTCTCTTTTTTTAATATAAACCTTTTTTTTATTAACTTTTATAGAAATTATTTAAATTTAATACAGATTGTGTATACTTGAATTTTTAACTACATTTTGATAATTGATGGCTGCCATTTCTATGGACTATCTGTGTTAGATTAAAATGGACAATACACCCTGTTCCAAATTATTATGCAAATTCTATTTAAATGTCACAAAGATTAAATATTTTGTTTTTCTGTTTAACTCATGGATGGCATTGTGTCTCAGGGCTCTTTTGATCACTGAAAAAAAAATATAGGACACCTGTGATAATTAGATTGCCAGGTGAGTCCAATTTAAGGAAAAACTACTAAAGGAGGGTGTTCCACATTATTAAGCAGAGCACCATTTTCATGCAATATGGGGAAGAAAAGGGATCTCTCAGCTGCCGAAAAGAGTGAAATAGTTCAATGCCTTGGACGAGGTATGAAAACATTAGATATTTCATGAAAACTTAAAGGACCACTATACTGCCAGGAAAACATACTCGTTTTCCTGGCACTATAGTGCCCTGAGGGTGCCCCCGCCCTCAGGGTCCCACTCCCGCTGGGCTGAATGGCAAGGAAATGGGTTAAATGTACCTTTTTTCCAGCGTCGGGCAGGGAGCTCTCCTCCTCCGATCCTCCTCTTCAGCTGAATGCGCATGCGCGGCAGGAGCTGCGCGCGCATTCAGCCAGTCTCATAGGAAAGCATTCATAATGCTTTCCTATGGACACTGGTGTCTTCTCACTGTGATTTTCACAGTGAGAAGCACGCAAATGCCTCTAGCGGCTGTCAATGAGACAGCCACTATAGGCTTTAGAGGCTGGATTAACTCATTTATAAACATAGCAGTTTCTCTGAAACTGCTATGTTTATTAAAAAAAGGGGTTAATCCTAGAGGGACCTGGCACCCAGACCACTTCATTAAGCTAAATTGGTCTGGGTGCCTAGAGTGGTCCTTTAAGTGTGATCATAGCACTATTAAGATATTAAGAGATTAAAGGCACATTGAGGAAGATTTCTGCCAGATCCATGCATCGGATAAAGAAAGCAGCTGCTAAAATACCATTACATAGCAGCAAACAGATATTTGAAGCTGCTGGTGCCTCTGTAGAGTCCTCCAGAGTATTGCAACTGTGCATAAACCTTCTATTTGGCCACCACTAACCAATGCTCACAAGCAGAAACGGCTGCATTGGGCAGAAAAATACATGAAGACTAATTTTCAAACAGTCCTGTGCAGTGATGAGTGCTGTGCAACCCTGGATGGTCTAGATGGATGGAGTAGTGGATGGTTGGTGGACATCAGCAAAGCGGTGGTGGAGTCATGTTTTAGGCCGGAATCATGGGAAGAGCGCTGGTCGGCCCCTTTGGGGTTTCCGAAGGTTTAAAGATGACCTCTGCAAAGTATGTGGAGTTTCTGACTGACTACTTTCTTCCCTGGTACAGAAGGAAGAACTATGCTTACTGTAATAAAATCATCTTCATGCATGACACTGCACCATCTCATGCTGCAAAGAATACCTCTGCATCAATGGCTACTATGGGGATAAAAGGAGAGAAGGTCATGGTGTGGCCTCCATCCTCCCCTGACCTCAATCCTATTGGAGCATCCTCAAGCAAAAGATCTATGAGGGTGGGAGGCAGTTTACATCCAAACAGCAGCTCTGGGAGGCTATTCTGACATCTTGCAAACAAATTCAAGAAACTGTCCAAAAACTCACAAGTTCAATGGATGCAAGACTTGTGAAGCTGCTATCAAATAAGGGGTCCTATGTTAAAATGTAATGTGACCTGTTAAAATGTTTAAAAAGTTAAAATGTTGTTATAAGTTTGATTGAAATAGCTTTTGATTTCAGTAAATTTGCTGCAAACACAACAAATGACAATTGTCAGTTCTTCACAACCTATAAAGTGTTTTGAAACTTACTGTGCGTAATAATTTGGAACAGTGCATTGTAAGTTTATGTTTTAAAAAAAATACTGTTATCATTAGGAGGTTTGTTCAATAAAATTTGAATTGAACTTTTAATAGCTGATAACATGAGCATTATGCTGACTGTTATTTACATGAATTATTTAGGTAAATGAGAAAAATATCATTTGCATAATAATTTGGAACAGGGTGTATATATAACTTATAGCATAATTTTAAAGCATTTGAAAGCCTCCTGCGATGTCTGTGTATGAAATGAGGGCAAAAAAATATATGAAAGATGGCGCCCGCAGTGTGCTTGACTGAGGGCAAAAGAAATCTGTTGATGTATTAACGTTTTTTTTTGTAGGAGTGGGATTGCGTAATGACACAATGACGTGAACCAGGAAGAAGGAAATAGCTGGCTGGGTAAATGAAGGTAAATGAATGAAAATAAGCACTCCAACTTTGAATATAAATATGGGGACAAATTTGACTTTTAAACATTGCAAAAAGACCCACTTGTTTGTGGGATACAGTAAAATGAATTTTTTTGCGCTTAATTGAATGCACTCATAGAGTTAGGTGAAAAACACGCTCCCCAGTTGAAGATAATATCCATTCATGGGTCAGTTTAAACCACCTTCAATCAGGACTCCGAGTGGTCAATATATATTAAAAGCATCTTTTTTCACATAGATACAGCCAGTATGAAATGATTTATAAAAATGAATAAAAACAATGGGCCCTTCGAGTTTCGTTGTCTAGATAGGGACTTCCTCAGGGACCTTAAAATTAGTGACAATCACAGAATAGTAATGCTGGAAAAAGACAGCCTAACAACCTCCACCCTCAAGTATCTTTAAATAGGGCTAATTCCCAAGTTCATTGGTGGTTCCATGTGCGTTTTCTTACTTTCTGGGTCCAATTGGTCAAAGTTTTCCTTGAATCACCTGTTCTCTCATTGCCATTATTTCATCCTCCCTCCAGGTGTTGTTACTTCTCCAGCCGATGCAGGTGGCAGAAGTGCGTTCCAGTGAGCACTTTTATGCGTTCCACTGATAACTTCCGTGTTCCTCAGAGACCAAAGATGGCAGTGCGTTCCACCCTGGTTCTGTAACCTAGTGATCACATCCCCTGGTTATATACTGATTACCACATTGTATTGTACCTTGGACTTTTTTATTAATGCATTATATTTGAAGTGCAGATGTACACACATATACTTGCAATACCTTTTGATGTAGTAACACAATAGAAGAAAATAGATTTGCAATAAATGTCATGAGAAGCTGGACACCCATGCGTTACATCTATCTACTTTCTAAATCTTTTCCAAACATGTCAGCAAATGGCTGCCATATGCCGTCCAGTAATAGACTGTAGCTACTAGAAGCTAAAAATTGCGAACAGGTTTCCAATTTTGTTACTTTTTTTTTTTACTGGCTGAAAACCAGTGTTCACACAAAGATTAGCTGCTCGCTGGTAAAGCATATACATACACTGTATCCATCTGCTATACCAGATATAAACCTATGTAACTTTTGAGGTTCACTTTTGCTATGTGAATTATTTTTTTAAAAGGGTTGACTCAAGCACCACGACCACTTCAGTGATTTGAAGGGGTTATGGTGCCTGGAGTCTGTATGTGCAGCATTTTGCTTTTAAATGCGCACATATGGAGATTAACCCCTTCGCTGCCAAAGATGTAACTCTAAATCCAGCAGCATCAAAGGGGTATCCGGGCTTGTTAATTTTAGTTGCACCGAATGAAAGTCATTTGCCGAGAGCGGTTAGCTGCTGCTCTCAGTCAATTAATGTAAACAGCCGCAGCTTCCAGCTTCTGCAAACTGGACCATCAGGTAGTCTTGGAGCCTGATCGGAACCCAGGTAAGGGGACAAGCCAGGGTACTCCTTCCATTGTAATCACTACAGTGGGCTGTAGTGATTATGATGCTTGTAGTAACCTTTTAAATGACACATGCACATTGCTTAAATAAAGAATGTTAATATTTTACGTATAATACATCATTTACATCTCTTACATTTTCCAAGGTTTACCCAAAATTAATTCATACTTTTTTTTTTAGCTTGCTCTGCCTACCTATAGTACTTTAATTATTCAGATTTTATGCAGTATAAATAAAATGTAAGACAAATTATGAAGTACACAACCGATGTACTGTACAGCATGGTTGACCTCCTCACATTTGCATTCATACTAAATTACTTTAACATTTATTATAAAAAGATGTGCAATGTGTTTTTTCAAGGTCAGGTTATATTTAATGTCAGAAGTGACAGAACTAAAACAGCCTTGCTCACAGAAATCATTATTTTAAAAGCATGCTACAATCTTGAGTGGTTAGATTAAAAGTTGTTTTTTTGTTTCTTTTCGTTTCGTATTTCACAGTACATGAGTAAGGGTACAGGAAAAAAAAGGAAAATTGCATTAGGAAATATTTTTATGTTATTCCAATGTAGGCAAAGAAAGTACAAATTTGAAAAAACATGGACAGGAGTATAGTAAATACTGCCATGATAAAAATTGTCAGGGAAGACTATACAGCTAGAAGATTATATAAGAGAAACGCATCCCAGAGAGTTTGCTATTGCATAATACATAAACAACTGTGGCCTCTTCAATTATTAACTATTTTCCACTATACCAGGCTATGGGCAAATGCTGGATAAGATCGAAAAAGGAGCAGAGATAGCGGTCTCGAATTCTAGAGCTTGAAAAGCAGACATCTCCCACTCTCTAACCCCAGCGCAGTAGGCAAAGAAGAACACGTAATGGGTTAATAGTTAATAGGAGTGGGAACACGAAATTGCAATTTATTACTCAGACCCTCATTTAACTGCAGGTTCATAGGTCACCACCCATCTACCTAGGAATAGACAACAATAACAGCTAAATCTAACAGGATCACTTAATATACGTCAGATCTACTTCAACAAGTGTAGATGCACTCAACTGTTAAATTGATACTTTAGGTTTATATAAGGGTTATATATAGGTTTGTCTAAGACAATTATATCCTAACTCGGCTATACACTGTTAAGTCACAACCTTGAAACCACCTGCTTAATCATATATGCCCCACTCATGATGCAAAAACATTGAGGCATGATCTCCACAAAACCTCTGAACATGTCATGTATCTGACACCAAGACATTAGCATATCTTTTAAGTAATGCACTTTGTGAGATTGTGCCTGGCATTATTTAGAATTTATTTACTTAATTTATTGTAAAGATTATCATTATGGGAATGTCAGGATGCATTAGATACAGTACAGGTGTTAGGGGTATTTTTTTTAATTTTATATTGTAAACAGAGAGGTCTTGAAACAAGTTGTGAAATGTAAGCCAGCTTTAGGTAGAGTCTGTAATTTCAGCAGTCTAGCCATATGATGTTTGTGTGTCTGACATTGTGCCAAAATTTGTCAGGCAGCATAGCAAGAAACAGAAGGGCTGAAGAGCCTGAAGAAAGGGGAGGAGTAGAACTTGAATGCCCAAAAAATAAAGGCGGTAAATAAAAGTGATAAAGGAGAGGTGCAAGCCTGAAAGTAAGAGAGGAGAATGTGAGAGAAGTGAGAAATAAAAGAAGGAAAAGGAAAGGTGTGTTATTTGTTTTTTTCAAGGTCAGGTTATATTTAACCCCTTTAGGTACGGCCTGTTTTGGCCATGTTGTACGTTAAGGACCAGAGCAATTTTAACACTTTAGTGGTGTTTGTTAGTGATGTCCCGAACGGTTTGCCACGGACTCATCATTGAGTAAACTTTGACCCTGTACCTCACAGTCAGCAAACACATTCCAGCCAATCAGCAGCAGACCCTCCCACCTCCTGGACAGCATCCATTTTGAAGCTGCATTCTTAGTGAGCTGTCCAGGAGGTGGGAGGGTCTGGGAGGGAGGGTCTGCTGCTGATTGGCTGGAATGTGTCTGCTGACTGTGAGGTACAGGGTCAAAGATTACTCAATGATGAGTCCGCGGCGAACCATCCGGAACATCACTAGTGTTTGTGTTTAGCTGTAATTTTAATCTCTCATTTCCTGTTCCCATACAAATTATATATTGTTTTTTTTCAGGACAAAAAGGGCTTTCTTTACAAACCAATATTTCTATCATGTCATATAATTAAATTTTTTTTAAATTATAAAATATGGTGAAAAATAAAAAAAAACATGTTTTTGACTTTTACTTGAAAAATCTTTTATTCATCGACAAAAGCTAATGAAAAAAACTGCTCAATAGATTCAAAATTTTGTCCTGAGTTTAAAAACACTCAATATTTAAATTTTTTTGGCATTTTTTTTGTTGTTGTAGGGCTATAAGTACAAGTATGATATTGCTGTTTCAAAATATACATTTTTAAAATAGTGACATTGTAACACTGTTATCTGTCATAAACCTTTGAAAAACACCCCATATGTACATTTTTTTTTTTAAAGTAGAAAACCCAGGGTATTCATCTAAGCATTATTTGACACTTAATATGCAGCCATTTTATCACCAATCTTTGTCAAACTTCGCATATTTCATTTATTTTTTTCACATACATTGCAATTCAGGTATAAATTCACAGATAATGCAATGTGTTGCTGCCAAAAAACACACTAATATGTGTTCAGCAACATCTCCGGAGTACAGTGATACCAACCATGCATAGGCTTGTCGGATTGTTAGGGGGCTAAAAGGCCACATTTGGCAGGTGCGCATATCCGTTTTCCAACTTGGAATTTTGACATGTAGTCAATCTGCACCCATGTCTTATTTGGGAAATTTTTTAAGCCGGCCAAAGTATTTTACCTCCATCAAACCATATATTTTTGAAAAGCAGACAACCCAGGGTATTTTAAATAGTGGTATTTTAACACTTTTCATAAACAGAATTTACCACCAGCCCTTGTCAAACTTTTGGGTAGTAATTTTTTGTGTTTTTTTTCAAACACATTGTACTTTAGGCATGAATTAACAGATCCTGTTATGTGTCACTGCCAAACAACACCCGAATGTGTTCAGAAACATCTCCTGAGTACAGTGACACCACCCATGCATAGGCTTATCGGGTTGTTTGGGGGCTAAAAGGCCACATTTGGCAGGTGCGCATATCCATTTTCCAACTTGGAATTTTGACATGTCGTCAACCTACGCACATGTCCTATTTGGGCCAATGTATTTTACCCCATCAAACTATATATGTTTGTGTTAAATCTGTTTTTATTGAGGTCAACAATAAGCAGTTTTCCCACGCAGGGGATAAAGCGTAAACAATGCATTCGTTTTGGAAAAACATGGATAGATATGTGTACAAGTTTATCATAGCATGTTATAGCACTGTAATGTAGTACACTTTTCATATTATTATTGCCATATATTTTTTTCTGCAGTGGCTAAGTTCAAAATGGGGCCTCGTATTTTACTACGTGGTTGAGTTGTGTTTAACTAAGCATGCGGTGAAGCTTTCAGTATAACCTTATTTGTAATTAAGTAAGCTTTGCCTTTTTATTGTAAGCGTAATATAGGTCAGAAGATATATAACAAATTACAGCAGCGTACCAGATAGCCTCTGGATGCTATAGGGTGCCAATATCTTATGTGCTCGCAGAAGCCACTTGTAACGTCCTAAGGACAATTTCAATATAGGTTGTACCACGTGTCACATTTGCATTTGGCCGTGCCCCGAGCCGGCGTTGCCCTCCATAACAGCAGGTGTCTCCGGTATGTGTGTTTTTCCATGTATTCATCTGTTGCAGGATCTTACTTGTGTAATGTCGTTGCTTGTGGAGGTTGGTAGGCCGACTATGTCAGTTTCAGCGCTCCCTGTGCATTGTTAAGGTCATATTCGGTATTAAAACGGAGCTGAGATGATTCTCTGTTTAGTTGTGCACTGATATCCGGCTTTGAGGCAACGCATATGTGGGTTTAGTGCGGCTCGGGCCCGGAGCTCTGATAGTCTGCTTCCATGCGGCTCGGCGGCCCAGCCCCACCACCTCAAACTATATATTTTTGAAAAGTAGATAACCCAGGGTATTTTAAATGGTGGTATTTTAACATTTTTCATGCACTGAATTCTAACACCAGCCTTAACTTTTGGGTAGCAATTATTTTTGTTTTTTTCATACACATTTTACTTTAGGCATGAATTAACAGATCCTTTTATGTGTCACTGCCAAACAACACACCGTTATGTGTTCAGCAACATCTCCCAAGTACGGTGATGCCACCCAAGCATAGGCTTGTCGGGTGTTTAAGGGGCTAAAAGGCCACATTTGGCAGGTGTGCATAACTGTTTTCCAACTTGGAATTTTGACATGTAGTCAACTTGCACCCATATCCTATTTGGACCAATGTATTTTACCCCCATCAAACTATATATTTTTGAAAAGCAGACAACCCAGGGTATTTTAACCCCTTAAGGACACATGACATGTGTGACATGTCATGATTCCCTTTTATTCCATTAGTTTGGTCCTTAAGGGGTTAAATGGTGGTATTTCAACACTTTTTATGCACTGACTTCTACCACCAGCTTTTGTCAAACTTTTGGGTAGTAATTATTTTCGTGTTTTTTTTCATACACTTTGTACTTTAGGCATGAATTAACACATCCTGTTATGTATCATTGCAAAGCAACACCCCAATATGTATAGGTGACATACATAGGTTTGCTGGGCTAAAAGGCCACGACAGAGACTTGTGCATGTCAGTTTTTCAATTTCATATATAGGTATGCTTGGTCTATCTTCAGTTTGGTGTATTTTTGCATCCCCAAGTTAGTGTTACCATCATGAAAGTATATATTTTTACCAAGTAGACAATCCAGGGTATTGTATATGGGGTGTTTTTACATTCTTTCCCCAACTATTGTGCTAAAATAATTTCAGAGAACCTGCATGGTGATAATTTGTGAATTCTCTCTTTTTTTATTTTAGCCAGCTGGTTATATGTTACTGCCAGAAAACACCACAGTTTTTTTCTGCAAAGTCCCCTGAGTACACCTATGCCCCCCATGCATTGGTTTGCCACGATTTTACAGTAACAAATTTTGGACTTGCCCATTTTGGCTGAATATAGTTTGCTTGCTTTGCTAGGCACATGTTGAGTGTGGTGCATTTTTCCATCCTCCAAGTTGAATTTAGGGTTTGAAAGTATATATTTCTATAGAATACACATCCAAGGTTTTGACTTCTTTTCCCTAACCATTTTGGCCAAAAAAGTGTGTGGTGGTAATTTTTTAATTCTGTTTTTTATACACACATTGCTTTTAGATTTCTGCCAGAATACTTTAACTTTTTTAACCAAATGTGCAGGTGTCAAATGCACCTTAAGTAGCAATCTCTAAACTAACTCCTGCAAAAAGAATCTAATGGAGATTTGGGGGAAGGAAACTGACTAACTTAAATTTTTCGCTTTCAAAAGAAATAAAAAAAAATAATAATTCAGGAACAAGTTATACAAAAAGGTATGCTCTGTGTGGTAGAGCTTAAAACATGTTCCAATACACAATGCGTGTTTTGAAAGGCAATCGGTACAGTGAAAGGGGGTGTCTGACCTTTTCCCTTTTCTCTAACAGACCTGGCAACGTTTCTGGGGATTAGTTTTATTTGCAGTTGGCGGGATTTAAAAAATATAATGCATACCACCAATTCTCGATTCCTCTGGCACCGTTGTTGGAACTTCAACGGAACCATCTCCATAAATAATTGCTGAAATCACTTTGAGTTGAAATTGGAGAAAGGTGGTTCTTCCAGGATTCATTTTTTTAAAAAGTAAAAACGAATTGTGGGTTGCTACTTGCCTCAGATAGATAGCCACCTTTTTATACCAGGCTTTAGTTTTTCTTAAAATAAGATATGGCTACATCAGCTGATCAGCCAAATCTCCCCCCCTCACGTGCCTGTTATAAGCCCTGACACAAACCGGTTTGGAATGTACTCTGCCTCGGACAGTGACGTCTGACATGCTTTCGTCATGAATGGTGGTTAGCATGTTAAAATCCTTCCTGTCCTTAAATTTAATTGCAAGCACTTCAGCTTTGCGCAGAGCTTTGCATTAACCTTTTTTTAATTTGGCCTCTATGAAAGGTCTGGGGAAATCTTTGGAATTTTTTCTCACAGTGCCTCAGGCCAGTGTCTGCACACCATAAAGCGATTTAAACAAACGGAAACTGCTATAGAAATTGTCCACATAAAGGTGATAACCCTTATTGAACAAGGGGATCAGTAGGTCCCAAACTATTTTCCCACTTGGCCCCAGAGAGTCAGGAAGCCAGGAGGGTCCAGTTAACCATCTTTCCCATCATATACGCGAAAGGCAAACATATAACCACTTTCGCTCTCGCACATCTGTAAAATTTGACGCCATACCTAGCGCGCTTTGAGGAAATGCACTGTTTTCATCAATGGATTCATCAATGCATACATTTTGCTGGGGAGTATAAACTTCAGAAAATCTATGCTGAAGATGGTCTATTAGTGGGCGTATTTTATGAAGCCTATCATATTGGGGGTGATCCCTGGGGTGACAGAGGGTATTGTCGTTTAAATGTAAGTATCTCAGCACCAACTCATATCTTGCTAAAGACATTGTTTGGGAGTATATAGGACTAGAACAGATTGGGTTGTTGCCACCCCTAAGAGCGGATTGATGGCTTCTTTATTATCCCCATGAGCATTCTGGGACATTTGTGGGATGCCAAGCATGCTTCCTGACTACAAAGCTACCTGGATTTGCATAAAAAAATTGCGTAGCATATAAATTAGTCTGGGAAGCAATCTCCTCCCAGATGGTATCCCCTAAAAATAGCCACCCACCCTCCATTTAGGGTCCCCACCTGCCGCTTATGGGTGTGTGCCAGGGGGACGCTAGGTCCCTCCCTTCATTGTAATAGGCCCCACTCACAGAGCGCGGTTGCGGGCTCGGGAGGGGAGCCACAAGGTTGTGTTTTTTTTATCACAGTTATCAGACTGTTTGGAGGACATGCCCCTAACTTATGCTATTATGGGGGTCATATTGACCCCCACAGAGTGAGGACATGGGGGGCTTAGGAATTGGCAGGGAGCACTGCTCCCTGACGCTTCTATGTTTCATATTACAAGGAGGGAGCTGTGCGCCGGTAGCTCCCTCCTTGTAATAAACCAAATGAAGGAACAAAGAGGTCTTTCTGACGAATGCATGAATAGATGAAATTCCGGTTCTGATAGCCTACTTAACCTATCATCTCTTGAAAGACGAATGAATGAATAGCATGGTCAGGCGAACAAACAAACACTGAATATCCGTGTTCGTTTGTTTGTGCAGTTTATTACAAGGAGGGAGCTACCAGCGCGCAGCTCCCTCCTTGTAATATGTAAAGATAGAAGCGGCAGGGAGCTTATGAAGTGTCCCCTTCATAAGCCCCCCCATGTCCTCCCTCACTCTATGGGGGTCAATATGACGCCCATAATAGCATAATGGAGATTAAAATCTCCCGAAGGCCCCTACTCGCTATACCACGAGTAGGGGCATGTCTACTAAACCGTGAGCAGCCTGTGGCTGCTCACTGTTTAAAAAACAAACCCTACTATCTGGCCCCCACTATCTGCGCAGCGGGTGGGGGCCCTAAATAACAATACGGGGGGAGAGAAGGGGGGAACTATTGTCCTCCCCCCCCCCGGCCCCCGCACCTGAGCGGTGGGTGGGGGTCATAAAGATTATAAGGGGGGGAGGGAACCTCCCACCTAGTGGTGGGGCCCTAAGACAAATTGTCCCCCATCAAAGGTGACTAGGGGTCCCCAAGCCCCTAGTCACCCAGCCCCAAAAGGTTAACCCCTACCGACCCCCCTGACCCTAAAAAATAGTGAGGGGGAATAAAATAACTAACCTGTAGAAAAATTAAACTTACCATTTGACGACATCTTTTTTCTAAAATCTTCATTTTTCAGCCCCCAAAAAGGCCAAATAAAAAAACCATTATACCTATCGAAGTTAAAATAAAATAAAAAACCAGAGCGCCAAAAAAATAATCCTTCTAAACCCATGGAGGGCCCCGCGCAGACTGAGCTCTGCAGGGCAGGGGAAGGTTTATAAAGCCTTCCCCCGCCCTGCAATTAGGCTAAGAACACTCTGATTGGTTGGTTTAAGCCAATCAGAGTGCTCTTTGTCATTTTACACAGCGTGGTAAAATTCCAAAGAACTTTCCCACGCTATGTAAAATGACACAGAGCACTCGATTGGGTGACTTGAAATCCATCCTATCACAGTGCTCTGTCATTTTACACAGCGTGGGAAATTTCTTTGGAATTTTACCACGCTGTGTAATTTGACTCATAACACTCTGATTGGTGGATGTGGGGGGAGGACAGTAGGTCCCCTCTCATTATCTTTATGAACCCACCCGCCGCCCATGGGTGGGGGACAGGGGGAAGGACAGTAGGCCCCCCCCTCATTATCTTTATGGACCCCACCCACCGCTCAAGGGTGGGAGGACAGTAGGTCCCCCCATTGTAATTTATGGCTCCCACCCACCGCGTAAGGGTGGGGGCTGGGTGGAGGACAGTAGGTCGTCCCCCACTCATTATCTTTATGGACCCCACCCACCGCTCAAGGGTGGGTGCCGGGGAAGGACAGTAGGTCGTCCCCCACTCATTATCTTTATGGACCCCACCTACCGCTCAAGGGTGGGAGGACAGTAGGTCCCCCCCCATTGTAATTTATAGCCCCCACCCACCGCGCAAGGGTGGGGGAGGACAGTAGGTTCCCCCATTATCTTTATGGCCCCCAGCCACCGCTCAGGGGTGGGGGCAGGGGGTAGGACAGTAAGTCCCCCCCCCTCATTATCTTTATGGCCCCCACCCACCGCTCATGGGTGGGGCGAAGAAAATAGGTCCACCTCCCCATTATCCTTTAGGGTACTAGGGCTTGCTTTTTTTTTTGGGCTGCTCACTGTTTACTAGACATGTCCCTACTCGCGGTATAGTGAGTAGGGGCATTTGGGAGATTTTAATCTCCATTATGCTATTATGGGCATCATATTGAGGAAAGACATGGGGGGGCTTATGAAGTGACGGGGACACTTCATAAGCTCCCTGACGCTTCTATCTTTACATATTACAAGGAGGGAGCTGCTGGTAGCTCCCTCCTTGTAATAAACTGCACGAACAAACGAACACTGATATTCGGTGTTGTTTGTTCGCCTGACCATGCTATTCATTCATTCGTCTTTCTGACGAATGAATGAATAGATGAAATTCCCGTTCGCATGCCCAAGTGTTTCACTGGGCATGTGCAGGAATCTCACAACGCTATCTTGTGTGGGCAGATGACGTGTCCCACAGGGACTTCCTCTACCGACACAAAGATGGCGGCGCCCTGAATATAGATCGGGGCAGAAAATAAAGATAAAAAATAGGTAATATGGGGGGCTTAGCGGCACTTGGGGGTGACTAGGGGGTCAGTTAGATGTAGTGGAGTAGGGAGGGTGGTTTAAAAAAAAAAAAAAACGGGATTCGGCCATGACAGTGCCGCTTTAAAGAGATGATAGCTTAAGTAGGCTATCAGTAGGTCGCCCTCCCCCCCCCCCTAATGAAATTCCGATCCGAACAAAGTGGAGAAACTGTTAGAACGCAATTCGGCAGTTTTGCCGGCGTCCTGTCTAAGTGACAGGAAGCATCGCGGAAACAGGGATGAAATGTAAGGATTGTGGGAAAATTGCTGTGACCACCGGAAACGAAGCACACTTTGCTCCTCCGCTGGTCACTGCCTAGGAAACCTCCATAAGAGAAATAATCCCTACTTTTTCTTAGGTTTTAAAGAAAACTAGAGCAGAAAGGAAGAAATGAAGAACAGATCCTGAGAGAGGGAGAGAAGAGGAATCGATTGGGGAAAGGTAAGTACGGCATGACAGTGCCGCTTTAAGGATACGATCAGTTATCATTACTGAGAATCCTGATGTTGCTCTTTCAGAATAACTAAAGTTGTGGATAATAGTCATGATTTCAGATACTATTACTAGTCCTAGCTGCTTTTTGTAATACCCAAACCCCTTCTGGTTCCACTGATGACACACATGCATCAGACTCGATTCTCACCAGTCAGACCATGAAACCTCTTCTAGAAAGAGCCCGTGGAAGTGTCACACTGATGCCAAAGCATCCAGACTCACCTATCATTATCACATAGAAAATTGGGATCCCCTGGAAGTGTTGACTTCCTATGACATGGTAGTTATACATGAATACTGCACTGATTATTCAGACGAAGATGCTAACACTTTACAAGATATAGATACCACTACCATCTCCTTTCATCAAGAAAACAATGATTAATAAATCTTCCAAGACAACTAATATTCTGACAAATCCACCTTGAACAACTGACAAGTACAACATTGAACTGCTCGATACTAAAGATCGTCCTCTGATCAAACACGAATATGCCAACAACGTTCAGCCAATTGGAAACCTCCAATCCACATTGTCAACTACCTGAAACTAAGGCTGCACCAACCTCTTGACAAGAAGGTATGTGCTAGATTGAGGACAGCTTGCACGAGGCCAATGATCCAAAACAAAGTAACTAATACTTCAGAGTTTGATCCCGTACTGGTAAATTTTCTAAGTAAATCGGGTCGTGATAAAAGAGGCTTTAGTCGGCCCAAGATAAATTACTGGATGTGGCAGGTCCCCTCAGCCAAATTTTATCCTGGCATACAAAGCTCTCTCTGGTCAACCTTTTGATGTTAATTTGATATGTTTGCAAGCCAATGAAAATGTAGAAATATTTACTGAGTGGAGACAAGTTGCCAAATTGGCCAACAGCCTTTGTTTTGGCAATACATTTATAAAGGACTTCAAGCATGCAGTTATCTACACTTGTTGACAACTGGGGTTCCAACAAGTTCCAATCTTTCAGACACCAACCATTCCTCACACAGATTCCCAACGCCACACCATCTTCCAATTCCCCTGCACAGGTCTTCTTCCAATCTGGCCATCCTACACAATTAACGGTCAGCTTTCCACATCATGGTGGCCATTGAATAATAAGCACACCCACATATTTCTCAGCAATCTCTTTCTGGTGAAGAACGATACCAGATATTTTCTTACAATCATAAACTTGTAAGAACTTAACAATTTCATTGTATACCGTCACTTCAACATGGAAGGCATCCATTTCCAACACAACCTTCTCTTCGAAGGCAGTTGGTTTTCTTGCTTTGACATCAAGGATGCATATCTTACAATTCCTACAGATTCAACCTTTTAAGCTTTCTGTGGGAGTATAAAATCTGGCAATTCGCTTGCTTTCTGTCCAGCTTGAGCTTATGGTGCTTCACCAAGCTGATGAAACCCATCATAGCCTTCCTTCGAGTACAGTGAGCCCAATCCATCATTTATTTGGCAAACATCATACTTCTGGTACAAGGTCCAGACACAATGAGAGCACACGAATATGGTGATTACCCTCCTTCAGAATCTAGGATTCATTCTCAATACATCAAAGTCAGAAATCCAGCCATCCGAGACCGTCCGTGTCCCTGAGTTTTTCCACAGATTCAATTTCAGAAGTCCACAAACTGCCTCTGTCCATGAAGTCTATCAAGAAGAATATTCGCAAATTACTAAACTCCATGTAAATTTGACTTCAGTACCAAAATGATCAGTCTCCTCTCCTCCTTTATACAGGCAATCTTTCCTGGCCCTCTGCAATATCGAGCTATGCAATGGATGAAAATGAATAATGGGAGGACCTCAATTCTTACGATCATTTGATTACCCTGTCAGGAGGTCCACTTCAATGGTGGCTATGCTGCATGGAAGCTTAGAATGGAAAAGCGATTTTTAGACGTTATCTTCGAATTGAACCCCAGAACCCTGGAAAGAAGAACAAAATGTGCAGGTTGTTTCAGAGGATCAGCAGAGGAATAGTCTCTTTACATAAATTGCTTGGAATTGATTGACTTGCTTGCACTTCGCAATTTTGTGATAGACTTCTCGGATTGTTTACTGGTTCTACACAAAGATGATATCTCTGCAATCCGCTACATGAATTGATTGGGCAGCTTGAACTTCAAACTTTTTTCAGGCTTTATGAAGGAATTGTATCTCTTCTGCAGAAATCTTTGGATTCCAACAACCTTGTGACGGACTGGGTCTTTCGCCACGGGAAGAACTTGGAATCTAGACTCGCAGATCATTGCCTTACTTCATTACTGTCAGGGTTCTTACCTGAGATGGGAGTCTGTAGTGCAGATATGTTGCTCACACTTGCAGACAGACACAGTCCAAGGTTAGCCAGAGAAGCCACCTGAACTGTGAATTTGTGCATGAGGGCTGTGCAGGAAAGAAGATTCCAATGCAGTACGGACAAGGACACAAACAGCAGGATAGTCAAGGGACAGCCGAAATCAAAGGATGCCAGGACAGGATTACCGAAGTGTAGCCGAAATCAAGGGATGCCAGAGGTCAGGATAAACAAAGTCAGAAGCCAGGGTCAAATTGGAGTAGAAGATCAAGAGACTGGAACACAGGAACAAAACACACAACACGATCAAAGACTTGATAATGTTTCCAGGGTGAGGCAGTGCTTATATACCCAGCTAATGACTGAGCAATCTCAGGTGAAGCAGAGCCATAGATGAAGTCCAGTCCCCAGTGCTGCAGACAAGCCAGGATGAACAGGAACTGCTGTGGCTCAAAGATAGATAGCAGGAGCAGGACAGCAAAGTACCTAGGTTCAAACCCCGTCGGGCACCCATGGGGTGGCGACCGCTGGCTGTCTGGATGGCATGGTGATCATTGGATCTGTTCAGTCGTCAAAATGACCAATTCTTCATCTGGCTCCAAGATCCCTTCGGCCTGGAGGTGTATGCCTTCCTTCAATGCTTGCCAGACAAATGCGTTTATGCCTTTCCATCCTTTTTAAGGCTACCTCGTACCCTGCATTACCTTTAAACTTCTTGTTGTAGAGATCGTGCTGATCATCCCCAAAGGCATCTCAACCATGGAACCCAGTGCTACTGGAGATTTCAGTGGATCACCCTCTCTCCTTCATTGTTCTCTTCTAAAATCCGGCAACCTTCATCGCTTTCAAAAGGATAATTTCAAGGGATCCTGGTCAGTCTCAGGCCTCCTGACGGCGGTTCAAGAACTACTCAGACTCCTGGACACCAGATACCCACACATCTTCTCAACTTGGCAAGTTTAGGATGGCTGGTGTGGAACGGAACCTGGATTCCATTTCAGAAACTATTAGAAACATAATCAATTTCCTGTCATCTCTGTTTGAGCAAGGGAAGTATTACCAGACTATTAAAATTTTTCGCTCAGCTCATATTCCTATTAAACGTTCTTGTGTAGGTAAGAACCCCCTAATCTGCCGTTTATTTCAAGATTCAACTAAATACTCCTATTTTTAGGATGTTACCTTGGTCCAGTTTTTTCTAAAAGCCTGGCCGGATAAAACTGATCTGTCTTGATGACAATTATCAGCCAAACTAGCTCTTTTATAATGCTTAGTCTCATAGTGTTTCAGATGTGAAAATATTTTATGTTCATGCTTTTGTTTTCTGCAAAGGGCATATATTTGTTTTTCTAGTTCTCAACGTAAGAAATACATATCAATATTTGTTTTCTACCCTTATATTCCATCTTAAACCAGCTCTCTGTGTGTCCTTCTGTGTTTAACAATATAGCTGTGCTAAAACCCAACTTTCCTGGTTCCACCTCGGCCATCTCCTTATTTCATATGTGCACCCACACAGACTGCCCATTGGATTCCACAGATCCTTGCCCTTGCTGGTGTTGATATATCATTCGGTCTAAAGGGCAGCAGCCTCAGCTGTCATGCTGGCTGGAAAGTCTTAGACCTTTCCTCGACAGATTGGTCAAAGGAATCAACCTTTCAATCCTTTTATTTTCATCCCTCTTCTCATGCCTCATTTTCTCTAGAAGAGCGTTATAAATTTAAATTTGAAGCCTCCTGTCTTGTCATAAAATTAGGGATTATTCTAAACTTGGTGACCGAATAATCTAAATATTTTCCCACCATTTGGTTATCTCCCTTCCATAGTATTTTCACTCAATTCTTTTGGATATTTTTTTATTTGTCAATATCTTATTCAAGTTGTTGTGTTATCCTCACACTCCATTGTGTCTCAGAGATTTATCCAATGTCAATTTCTCATGTTTGTCATGCCTTTTACATGCCATTTCAGTATGAAGTCTTTCATCTTTATATTTGTTCCAGTTTGAGTTAAAGTTTAATGTTTGACTGCTATTCTTGATTGAAAGCTTCCTCCTGCTTGTCTATATTTGATTGTGTTATTTTTTCTCTCACTACTGTCAAGTATTTCTTTGCTATTCGGTAAGGATAATTAAAGCAAATATTCACCTCCTGTCTTTCATTAAATTTAGCTTATTCGGTCAACAACATTAGACTAAACAGTTTTCCAACATATCCAAATAAAATGATAATAATTACTCCTGCATTTAACTTTTTAGCAAAACAGTCAACATAACAGTCTGTTACTTTACATTTTAAATAAACAAAAAAAAAAATCACCTAATTTAATTGTAAGTAAACAGCAATGAATCATAGTTTTTAAAACAAGATATATAATATGAACACCTAGTAACTTTCTTTATCAAAGATTAATTTTTATATTTTTCATTAAACAACAGAAGTGTGAATAACATGGCGGAAAAAAAAATAACATGGCAGAACTTTGTTTTCATTATAAGCATTATGCAACAACACTTGAAAGTTCTTGCTGTTACTAGAAATCAAACAATAGTTACTCATTTTGATGCAATTTATTAAAGTTAAACACATAACAAAATGTTGATGTTTTCTGTCATTTAAAAATTTGAAAACCTTTTGACATAATGGGACTGTTCCACTTAATGAATACCCCGTGCTCCATAACGATTTCATCTTAATTAGGTTTAATCTCAATTAAGTTGGTACGGTGACAGGCGATCATGGTAGCTGCCATATCCAAGGGGCTAAACTGTTTACAAACAATTTAACTCCATAGTTGTGAAGACGACTGCTTTTTAACCTGCTTTCCAGCGATGTCCAAGGCTTCAATGAGGAAGGAGAGGATTGGGTGCCGCCGATAGGCAGAGGACTTCAGCTAACACTAAGAAAAATATGTAATTTCTCACACAGTATTGTGAATAGGCGGCTAGTTAGTGTCAGTTGCTACTCTCAGCAGTGCCCAGTCGGTGGTTCCTATTTGAAGCCCTAGACATCAACGGAACCCAGCACGGTCTTCACAACTTTGGGGTTAAACCATGCGTAAAAAAAAATTAACCCCTTAAAGTATGACGCCCCCTAGGACCAACTTCATTGAGAAGTTATGGTGCTCAGTGTTCCTTTAAATCTCATAGTTGTAAAATTATTTTTATGTATTATTTTCACATTTTTAATCTATAATTTATTACACTCAATTCGGAGACACAATAAAAATAAATTGAGTTTTTTGTTTTCATCGATTTCATACAATCTACATGGTGAGCTGTATTTATGAAACTATCTGGAGAGGTGTTTGGAAGTTTAAGAACAGGAATTGTTAATTACATTGATTAATAGTGGAACTGTACAGGAGAATTAATAGTAAACAATTTAAAGAGTATACATCAGAACAGTGCATCAATTTCTACATAAAATATTTTTAAAAATCTAATGGATAAAATGGTCCATAACTTCAAAGGGACACTCTAATCACCAAAACAACTTTAGCTTAAAGGACCACTATAGCCACCCAGACCAATTCAGCTCAATGAAGTGGTCTGGGTGCCAGGTTCATTTAGTGTTAACCCTGCTGCTGTTTATACTAGGGTTAATCCAGCCTCTAGTGGCTGTCTCACTGACAGATCACAGTGAGAAGATGCTGGACGTCCATAGGAAAGCATTGAGAAATCCTCTCAATGGTCATTTGTCTGTGCTGGGGAAAAGGGGGAGGACTTGCAAAGGTTGTAAACAGATAATCTACGGCTTTAACAAGCAATGTTTCTTTTAGATATACCCCAAAGAAAACAAACATAAATAAGTGTGTGTTTTCATTGGGGGAGTTATCTACTAAATACTGGGATTTTGTTTTGTTTTTTTATGCCTTTAACATAACAGTAGATAAGCACTGTTAAAGTTAACACACTGTGCTGTAAAACAAAACCTTTTTTCACGGAGGCTGTGTGAGTCAGTCAGGGATGGTGTGGCTAGGGCTGTATATAGAATATGATTTTACTCTGAAACAGCAGAAAATGTAGAACTGAGACTACCGGGGCATGATCTAACCAAAATAATTTCTTTGTTAAGCTAAGGTTATTTTGGTGTTTAGAGCATCCCTATAAAGTAAACATTCATGCTAATATTGGCTTCTTCAAGAGAAGCTAAATTTGAAATAATGCCGTAGCCTAAACACAGTGAACCAGATATGTATATTTCAATAGTTTCACAGATCATGAAGCTGGAGCTATATGCTGACAGATTCTGCATGCAGTCCAATATAACAACAACTTGGTTAAGCTTTGTTTTATAAATGAAAGAAGTTCAGGGGGGCTATAGTTACACATCTATCACCTGACATCATATATATCAGACACCCTCAAGTGGATAGCAATATCTATATAAGTTGGTGACCTGAAGATGACTGTGTGTCGTACAGAAACTGGGGTCTTCCAGGCCAGTATAAAGAGGCATGTAATGTTTTTTTGAGAAACACATGCCATTGTATTGTGCAATCAACTAATAACTTTGCCATCTATTAAACATGGGAAATTGGAAAACTGATTAAATTGTGTATTATATATGTAGAATATGCCAAAATAAAAATTAAAAAACAATAATTAAAGGGACACGACAGACTCCAAAACTTAAGCCTAATCAAGCAGTTTTGGTGCATAGATCATGTCCCTGCAGTCTCACTGCTCTATTCTCTGCCATTTAGGAGTTTCATCATTTTGTTTATATAGCCCTAGTCACACCTCCATGCATGCTAAATTACTTCATGTAAAGAAAGATCTAATGATTAAACTTCCTTTATTGCACATTCCATTTAATTTAAAATATCCTGCTCTACATTTGCAAAGCAGGAGATATAACCTTCTAAAGCAAATTAACATCTTATTGAAAAGTAAACCATTTTTCCATGCAGGCGGTGAGACACCGCCAGGGGAGGTGAGGCTAGGCTTGCATATTTAGAAACAAACCTCCTAAATGGCAGAGAATTGAGCAGTGAAACTGCAGGGGCATGATCTATACACCAAAACGACCTTATTATGCTTAAGTTGCTTTAGTGCCTATAGTATCTCTTTAACTACTTAAAAATGTGCATACTGTTTACATATCAAACAAATCACAACAATAAATTAAATAAGTCTAATTTGCAATGCATACATTTAAGGAACAGTCTATTCACTATAGATCCTAATAGTGGATATGGTGTCCTAAGCCTATAAGCCCATCCCATGGTATTTTGAAGTTGTTTGACAAACGAGAGGGATGAATCAGGGATGTAGAAACTGCCCTCTCCTCAGCCATATTAGCATACCCCATGCCAAGCATGCCCAGCCTATCAGTGCTAACTAGATTGGACACTGTGGAAATGTAAATTCTGCTTTATTGTTGTGGCTAAGGAGGTGGTGGTTTATGGGTTCTGGGAAGCAGCCTGGATTTTGTCAATCTGCTACCAAATGGCACTATCAGACTCTATGCACCATTACCACTACTTTGATATATATAGCAGTTAAGGTGCAAAGAGTTTCCCTTTAACAGTTTTGGTATTAGGTACTTGCATTTCATGCAGTGCTTTAAATGATATAGAACAAGGTCCATGTTTAAAATAGTTGTCACATCTCAGTATTTCATAAAGAAATCTTTATGAAATACCGATATGAACTGCGTTGGAATTTGATTAAAATTATCCATAGATGATTTGCATGAGAGTACAGAAGTGATGCTGCAACTGGCATGTGAAGCACCAGGAGCCAAAGATCTCCAGTTAGAAGATTGAGGTGGCTACAAGGGACAGTTTCGGGTAAGTAAACCTTCCTACCTCTGTACCTTATAGCCAACAAACCTTAAACTCAGTATCACCTTCGGAGGTCTTTCAAAATATATAAAGACCTCAGAGAGTGAGAAAAATGCTTTAATAATAAGAACCTTGATTTGAAAGATAAAGTCGTGGTTCCACACGGCTTCCATTGGTTAGAGGGACTGCAGGCAATAATGAGTGACTTTGATAAGAATATGATCTAGATGTGTAAGGAAGTAGATTCGGCGTTCCTGATGAAATCGATGGCATGGTGTTCACTGGACTATGATGGGAATTGTAGTCTGCAAATAAACATGAAAAAGATTATAGTTAATGTTAAAACAATGTATCATTTAACCCCTTCAGGACGGAGTCAACTGTAAATGTTCTGATCAAAACAAAATGGAAACAAAAACTGGAATTTGCGCTATGTCTGTTCAACCGTAATTCACCTCTTTCATATTAAGTGCACCCACACTTATTATATATAATTTTGTTCAGAAGAAACAGGGCTTTCATTTCTAATGAACTATTCGTATATGAAACATAATTTATTATGAATAAAATTTAAAAAAAAACTGTGAGAAATTAAGATTTGTTTTAATAATTTGTAGTTCCATCTGACATTTTAGTGGTAAATGCCATAATACTGCTTGCTTTTACTGCAATAAAATGCACATATTTGTATTCAGCTAAGTCTCACGAGTACAACATTAACCCCCATTAACAGATTGTACGGTGTTTTGGAAAGTTACAGGTTCAAATATAGCACATTCCATTTTTCATTTTTTTCACTTTAAGGTTTGCCAGATTAGTAATGTTACCTTTGAGACCATGTAGTAGCCCAGGAATGAGAATTACCCCCACGATGGCATTCCATTTGCAAAACTACACAACCCAAGGTATTGCAAGTGGGGTATGTCCAATCTGTTTTAGTAGCCACTTAGTCACAAACACTGGCCAAAGTTAGCGTTCATATTTGTTTTTGTGTAAAAAAAAGCAGACAACAAATATTTGGCCAGTGTTTGTGGCTAAGTGTATTTTAATACTAATATATGTACGTATATTAATATGTAACGTAATAATAATATGTAATGTAATATGTAACATATGACGTTACATATATAAGATATATATATACACACATACACACACACACACACACACACACACAAGAAAAAAAACTCAACATTTCGACCCCAGCAGGTCTTTTTCAAGAATGACCCGCTGGGGTCTAAACCTTGATTCTATTTGCTGCACGTTTGATGATTGATTAAATCACATTGCACTTATTCAAAGACCTGTGTGTGCATCCTGATTTTCTCCTGTTTACATATTGGACGCATTTGGATTGCACCCAGGCTATCGTACCTCAAACTCTGGTAAGGCGAGTGCCAAGCTATCTTCTATTATATATATATATATATTAGGGATCGACCGATTATCGGTCTGGCCGATATTATCGGCCGATATTTGGTATTTTCGGCAATATCGGTATCGGCCAATTCAGATACCGATATTGCCGATAATATATAACAGGACCGCCGGGCCCATTAGAAGCCCGGCGGTCCTGTGGGGGCCAGCAGCAAGCGCTGACTTACCTTGCATGCAGCTCCCTGTGTAAATCTCGCGAGACCCGCGGCCGCAGAGCGTTGCCACGGGTTACCATGGCAACGCTCCGCGCGGCACTAAGAGCCGCGAGATTTACACAGGGAGCTGTAGGAGCTGCTTGCAAGGTAAGTCAGTGCTTGCTGCTGCTGAGCCACCACTGTACTTAACAAGCCACTGGACCACCAGGGAATACTATATCCCCCTCCCTGGTAAGAAGCAGGGAGGGGGGACTAAACAAAACAAACCCAAACATTTAAATATTAAAAAAAAATATTAAAATAAAAAATTACACAAATTACATCACTACACACATACTGCATTACATACACACTACACAAACACACACTGGGGGGAGACTAAACAAAAAAAAACCATTTAAATATTAAAAAAAATATTAAAATAAAAATTACACAAATTACATCACTACACACACACACACACACACACTGCACACATACTGCATTACATACACACTACACAAACACACACTACACAAACACACACTGGGGGGGGGACTAAACAAAAAAAAACATTTAAATATAAAAAAAATATTAAAATAAAAAATTACACAAATTACATCACTACACAAACACACACACACACACTACACAAACACACACTGCACACATACTGCATTACATACACACACACTGCATTACATACACACTACACAGGCACACACACTGCATTACATACACACACTACACAGACAGACACTACACACACACCACAAACACACACTGCACACACTACACTGCACACACACTGCATTACATACACACTACACAAACACAGTACACATACTGCATTACATACACACACACTGCATTACATACACACTACACAGACACACACACTGCATTACATACACACTACACAAACACACACTACACAAACACACACTGCATTACATACATACACACTACACAAACACACACAAAAACACTGCATTATACACACACACTACGTAAACACACTGCATTATATACACACTACACACACTGCATTATATACACACTACATTCATTATACACACACTACACAAACACACACACACACTACACAAACACACACAGTTCCCCTGTCTAAACACACTTCATCCACTACATGTGGCATGTATATTTTGTGCATTTACCTTTCGAATTAGTTTATTTATTCAAAATAGTAAATGTACAGAATATCGGCAAGATATCGGCTATCGGCCTGAAAGTTCGCAGATTATCGGTATCGGTATCGGCTCTAAAAAATCAATATCGGTCGATCCCTAATATATATATATATATATAAATAAAATAGAAGATAGCTTGGCACTCGCCTTACCAGAGTTTGTGTGTGTATATATATATATATATATATATATATATATATATATATATATATATATATATATATATACACACACACACATACATACACACACACACACACAAACACATTTCATTTATTTTAAACATCTTAATATTTTTTTTTACACTACCCACCAGCAGGGGAACTGACTGACAGCCCAGACAGTCTCCCTGCTGGCAAATCCACAGGGGGCCATATTTGCCGGGGAGGGCTGCCTGGGCTGTGAGGCAGTCCTCCCGAAGAGGATCGTGGCGGAGGTAAGTCCACCGGAGCTCCTGGGGAAGAAAGCCGTTACGGCGTTCTATGCCACCACAACGGCTTTAAAGCTCATTATAACGGGGACGGCAAAGAACGTTGTAACGCTGTTAAGGGGTTAAAGACATATGTGACATATGAATTGTATATTTAGTTTTTAACCAGTAATGAAATTGCACCATAAAAAGGTAGCTCCCAGAGAGATGCCGTGTCATGTCCAAATTAATTAAGTCAATTTAAAGCATCACTGCCAGTAAATCGCTGCCTTATGATGTGAAGTTTCACTAATTTTCCTTGGTAAAATATAAGACTCAGTTGGGAGAGGAACAATCACAGCAAATACCATACATGTATTGTTCTTGCTGTGAAGGAGGGCTGGAGAACAATCTGTAGGTAGGCATATCCTGTTAATCAGACTCCGCAAATATGACAAGCACAGGGAAAATCCTTGTGTGCCTAGAATGTATTGACAGGTGAGGTCCCATATATTTGTAAAGACTTCATGACTTTAGCAACTAGAGTCTGTATACAAAGATGGGTTTAAAGATAGGCCAGACAGTGTAGGGATTACACCACATTCAGAGGTCACTTTGTGTGTTCTGGGCAAAAAAGAAGCCAGAGCCAAATACAAAGGGGTTGGTGTCTGGAAGAGATTAAACAAACATTGTAATTTGTTTCAAGGTCTCCACTATTAGTTACAAGATTTAACTCCAGGATTGTCTCTCTTGTGAGCATATTAGAGTGTGCATAGGTACCTTGTGTGCATGCACATAATAAGAAAACATTTCCTGATGAACTGAGCTTTAAAAGCAATGCTGGTTAGTGGTCTGGCCACAATTAGGATTAAGCGGACAAGGGCGTGGATTTTAAATTTTTTAAATATCTACTTGTGCAAGCTAAAGCTGTCGCCTAATCTACTAGTCACTACATCACAAAACAATTTCAGATAGTGAAATTGGGATGCGTGTCTAGCGATCTGACTGGTTTATTTGCTGAACTCTGAAATTTCACAAATTAAAGGGACACTATAGTCACCCAGACCACTGCCAGGTCCCCCAGGTTTTAACCCTTCAGATGTAAACATAGCAGTTTTTAATCCAGCCTCTAGAGGTGCTTCTGCGACGCTGGATGCGAAATTCGCATCCAGCGTGCAGAACGTCCATAGGAAAGCATTTAGAAATGCTTTCCTATGGACTGTTTGAATGCATGCACGGCACTTGCCGCGCATTCGGCTCCACTCGGGAAGTGACATCAGCGGAGGAGGAGAAGTCACCAGCGCCAAGGGAGCCCGGCGCTGGATTAAAGTAAGTAACTGAAGGGGTTTTAACCCCTTCAACGCCAAGGGAGGGGGACCCAGAGTCTGTTTTCCTGACACTATAGTGATCCTTTAAGTGCGAATGAAAAAACATAAGGCAAAATGGCTCACCTGAAAAATAAATAAATATATATATATATATATACACATACACTGCCTGACCCCAAAAAAAGTCGCCACCTGTATTAAACTAAGCAAATAGGTAAAAGCCTCCTATTGGATAGTTACTGCATGGGTGATTATCTTTCAGCTGGCAACAAGTTATTTAACCCCAACTGATGCAATGAGTAACTTCTCATTTCTTAAGGGAGCAGTATAGTGCCAGGAAAACAAACTCTTTATTAGGTTTCCCCCTCCCTCGTGACCCCCCTTCAGCCTCTTACCTTCAGCTCAGAATCTGCATGCGCGACAAGAGCCGCGCGTGCATTCAAACCGCCCATAGGAAAGCATTACTCAATGCTTTCCTATGGACGTCAGCGTGTCCTCAATGCAATTTTCGCATTGAGGATCGTGGAAAGGGCCTCTAGTGGCTGTCAGGGAGATAACCACTAGAGGCTGGATTAACCCTCAATGTAAACATAGCAGTTTCTCTGAAACTACTATGTTTAGAGCTGCAGTGTTAAAACTAGGGGGACCTGGCACCCAGAGCACTTCATTTAGCTGCAGTGGTCTGGGTGTCTATAGTGGTCCTTTAAACAACCATGTCGAAAGACACATCCCGTGGTCGTGGAAAAGATGTTAGTCTGTTTGAGAAGGGTCAAATCATTGGCATTCATCAAGCAGAGAAAACAACTAAGGAAATTGCAGAAACTACTAAAATTGGGTTAAGAACTGTCCAACGCATAATTAAAAACTGGAAGAATAGTGGGGAAGCACCAGTGATGGGCGCATCAGGGTAAGAAGAGGCACATCTTTTTGGCCAGGCAGTGTATATTCATAACATTACAACTTGGTTATTTTTGCCATTTGAATATAACATTAAAGAGACACGTTAATAAAATAAATTGTTGCAAAAAGGCTTAAAATACATCACAAGACAAACTCCATGGTGTCTACTTTTTACAAGTATGCATTTATGGGGTTAAACTGCTACAATGCCCCAAAATGAGACATAGGCCCATTAAGTCCATCAAAATTCTAGCTGTACTATTTTATATCAAACTAAAATAGTCTGATTGCTGATATCGCTCTGTAACTTCACAAGTGGTAAAGGCCTACATTGGGGGTATTTTTTTTTTTTACTCAGAAGAGATAGCTGGGCATAATTTGGGGAGTTTATCATAATGGCATATATGACATTTACATAATGAGTTGTAAAAATGCAATATGTGTGTAAAGAAAATGCAAAAAAAAAAAAAGTTTGACAAACAGGTGTAAATTGATGAGATGTTATATAATAAACACCACATTAAATACCCTGGAGTGTCTACTTTCACACAAATGTGGCAATTTGAATAGTCAAACTGCTACAATGCCATACTCCATACAACTACAATTGTGACCGACTTCTTCGGTCCGCACTGGCCAGAAGTAGGTAAAGGAAATGGAACCTGGCAGCACCGTCATATCCCTAAACATGTTTTAAGTATAACCAAAATTAAGCTTTTTAACAATATACAATTTCTAACATCCACCCAGGAATATTAATATATGCTATTTTGCACAGGTGTAATGGTCATACCAATATATTTTTAAAAATATGGAGGTTTTTGTACAGGTTAGTTATCCTCTCAGTATGAGCCACAGTGCATACTGGGTATTCTACAGACAACAGTAGGCCTATCTAAAAGTTTAGAACAGACAGCAACCTGCTCAGAAAAATGCTTGGCAAAAGTAAAATAAGATATTTTACACACTTACCTAAATGCAATAATGTAAAATGTGCAGCCAGCTCCTTTGCATCTTCTAATACTGTACAGAGTTTGTCTGGCATGAAGTAACGCTGACCGTTATTTACTATAGCTGGAATGACAATTTTGAAAACCAAGAGGAGTTTCCCTTCTTGACTGTTTGTGGAAAACAAATAATATTCTGGAGGAGACCAGTTATTTTTGTTGCAATAATACTCTAAATGCATTACAGCAGACTGGAAATGATTTGATTTTAAAGAGTATATATTAACTGGAGTAAGTTTTGTTCCCGGAAGTAACGGATATGTGGATCTCTCAGGCTCTGGAGAGGATGGATTGCGCTGGCAGTTAATGATTGTTTGAAGAGATGAACATCTTCCAAGTGATTTTTGAGGCCCATCATCTTTATTTATATTAGTAGCCAAACTTTCAGAATGGGGACTCATTTGGCCATTTAGCTGTTGTTTCCAAGCTATTTCTTTATTTACTGGTTTTGCCAATGTGACCTCAATGATTGCACCATCAATACATTTTCCGTTCATTATTGACATAGCAACAATAGCATCATCCCGGGAAAAAAAATGTACAAAAGCATAATCTCTTAATTTCTTTACTCGTTCAACAGCTCCAGGTTTGAATTTGTTGAACTCAGCTTTAATGGTTTCTTCTGATGTGGAGATCATTAAATTCCTCACATATAACACTTTTACCCTTTGCATTGTTTCTTCATCAACTTCTTTTTCTGGATCTGCCCAGTCAACCTGAATTGTATGGCCCCACAACTGAAATGTCCCTGCAAGAAAAATATATAACATGAATGCAACATTACTGTAAGGCAAAAGGTTGCACCAACCAGCATCTCCTCGTAGGGTTTCATTGAATCAATAAATCACTATGGGGAGAGGTCAGCGCCTACATGCAGAGTATGAAGACTGACTGCAACTATACGTGTTACTAGGCACTGGATTAGATTTGTGGATTACCTCAGTAGACTTCTTTCTGGAATTAAAGGAGCACTATAGTGCTAGGTAAACAAACTTGTTTTCCTTGCACTATAGGGTTATTAGGTCCCGTCTCCTCCCCCCCAACCCCCATGGCCCTCCTCCCACTGGGCTGAAGGGGTTAAAACCCTTTCAGCCACTTACCTTAATCCAGTGCCGGGTTACCTCAGCGATTGTGACCTCTCCTCCCCCTGTCAACGTCAGCTCCGAATGCGCATGCGCAACCAGAGCCGTGCGTGCATTCAAACCGCCAATAGGAAAGCATTACTCAATGCTTTCCTATGGACATCAGCATGTCCTCAATACAATTTTCGCATTGAGGATCGCGGAACCCTCAATGTAAACATAGCCGTTTCTCTGAATCGGCTATGTTTTACGCTGCAGGGTTAAAACTAGGGGGACCTGGCACCCAGACCACTTCATTGAGCTGAAGTGGTCTGGGGCCTATAGTGGTTCTTTAAGATTTTCTTACTTTAAAGACCATAAATAATAAGGTCTCAAGACACTCACCTGGAATTAGCTTCCTTCTTGCCATTGCTGCTGCTCTGTGTGATTCATATTCCACAAAAGCAAAGCCTCTGTTTTTAGTTTTGTCTGTTGCACTTGGATAGACAATAACATCAACAACTCCTCCAGTTACTTTCCTCATTTCATCAAAAATGTCTTCTTTTTTCTTTTCCTTTGGTATTGCTCCAATAAATAGCCTGCAGTTGTCCAAACTCACACAGACTCCAATAAATTTGCCAGGACGAATTTCATAATTATTTAGCATCCTAATAGCTAGCAAGGCTTCATCTTTGTTTGTGTACATGACAAAAGCATACCCTCTGTTCTCACCACTGAATTCCATCATCAGTCTAAATTCATAGATTTTTCCAGCTTGCTCAAAAACAGGGATCAAATCCTCTTCACACATATCACGGGGAATTTTTCCCACAAAAACTTCACAGCCACGTGGAGGAGGAGGGCCTTCCCAGCCTGAAGAAACAAAGAGGGAATTATTTTAGGATGTCAGTTACATTTTAGAGTTCCAATCATAAAATAAATGTAAAAAATGTAAGACTCTTAAAGGAACACTAAAGGCATCATAACAGTATAATCTCAATTACATTGGGCGCCAGTTTACCATAAAGTTTAAACTGTTTAAGAACGGTTTAATCCTAAAGTTATGCAGACAGTGCCTGTCAGCTCAGCCCCTCTCCTGTATCTCTCTTCAAAGAGGAAGACTCCGACTGGTGATAGGAACAGTCTCCATTTTTGCTGAACTGTACCTAAACAGTTTGACAAAAATCTGAGGACGGGAGCCAGATAATATGAGCAACAAAGAGTACATAGATATTAGCAACATAATGACTACACTGCACTATGGTGGTCATGTTGCATAAATTGTCCCTTTAAAGTCTACACAATGTATACCTACTCTACTGTGCCAAATATGATAACTGTTAGCAACACCAAATAAATATGCTTGTTCTGAAAATCCAAGTCCTCTTACTTGTGTTATTCTCAAAACACACCAAAAAGACAACAAAAACAAAATATATCAGGAGGGACACTCTAAAATGGTGATACCACTCACTAGCACCAAACCGTATAAAAACACTTACAAGTTGATACACATCACATACCAAAACAGTGCTGGTCATTTGTAATTACTCCTACCCTACACTATTAGAGGTTTGGGTTCCCGCTATCTCCCATCTGTCCCAATTTAATAGCTGTTACTATAATTACTGTGGGTGCTTCCTGGGCAACTTCTATTTGACTATGCAGACACAAAAGGATTTGGGCACGGACTCTAACAATACTCCCATTAGTGCCAATAGACACCCTACACCCCAGTTTGTTCCCAGACCTTTTGGCCTGAATACTACTGACGAGACAGCTCAGGAGAAATTGAACTCGTTAGAGCTTCATTCACTCCTGGATGCCACTATGGCCAAGTCAGTAACCCAAGCCATTTATTTGGCTATGGGAGCTATGTCGGACACTCTATCCTGACTCCATTAGTTATGCCCTCATGTCCGCCCAGCGGACCTTAACCCACATTGCTCCTAACCCTACGGAGCACAAACAGGTGAAATCCTGTGGTCACAAAGTCGCCAAAAAAATTTGCTACATAGACAAGGAAGCCTCCAAAATTGTACAGTCGGACAAAGAACGTTGTGTCAAAGATGATGTGGTCGCACCACAACAAAGAGCAACCCACCGGGCAAAATCGGTGAGGAGTTGGAAGAGGGCAAAAGCCCTAATAGAATCATCCAAGTCAAAAGGAGGCATTGAGCGAGTCTGATGATGACTCTTACAGTTTGGGCACACTATTCCCCGACCACGGTTCCCTATCCGTGTCAGGGAATGACAATAAGGACTCCACCTTCCTTGACCCACAGGGCGAACCACTTTTTGACCTGGATGCCCTACAGCATCCGAGATCAAAAGAGTGGTTCCCACTGGACCATGTGGCAAAATATATAGCCGCACGTATCAGGAAACCACGTAATAAAGTGGCACGTAGCAAAATGCAGGCAGAATGCCCATGCCCAACGATTCCGGATTTTGCATGCATCACCCCGGACGTGGATCCAAAGATTGCCCAGTTCCTCGTCAAAACTGGGTGAAAGGCCAAGAAAGGCCTAGATTTTGCACTACGTCATTGCCAAGATAAGATATGGGGTGTCCTTGGACCCAGAGCAAAGAAATTTGACATGGTCAAAACGGCCTTGGCGGGTGGTGTTCACACAGACCTGCTTGCTATCAGGGGCTGGATCCAACGACTCGTATGTCTATTCGGAAATGCCAATACTGCTTTAGCCACCGAGAGGCGAAAGGCAATTTTAATTAAGACCGAGCCAAAGTTGGTTAATTTGGCTATTTCAGAGCCTGGGCCACAGGCAAAAGGCCTTCTTTTTGGGGACAATTTCATAAAGGAACTGAGTACCTATGTAGGCACATTTACTGCACTGGACAAGGCGCAACCAATATGAAAAAGGTATTCTCTCGTTAGTGTTTCTGGCAGGGCCGGCAGATATTGGGGCCGTCTGCTGTTCCTCCCAGGGCTTGTACCGGGTTTCTCAAGGCTCCTTCCAGTCATGTTTCCAAGGTCTGGAACCTTAGTCCACCCCTCTGTTCTTCCCAGTTCGAGGAAGGCCTTGGCATTCTCATGGAGCCAGAAGCGCTTCCTTTGGCCGACACCCTTATGTAAAGTTTCCTTCCTTCATCTCTACCTTCAGTATCGTTGGTGGGGGTCAGATTATGCCTTTTTTTAAAATGTGTGGCGCATGTTAACTTCGGATACTTGGGTCCTACAAACTCTACTGGGTTATGCCCAACCAAATTGTCTTCTCCACCTACGGCCGGGCCTTAATTGCAGCAGAGATACAGTCTCTAGCCGACAAAGGGGCTATCATAGAGACGCACTCGCGAGCTACAGGTTTTCTAAGCAACCTTTTCATAGTGCCCAAGAAAGGCGGAGATGTCCGACCGGTTATCAATTTACGCTCCCTAAACGCATTTGTGGCGTACCACCATTTTAAGATGGAGGGTATCCACTCTCTCTGGGACCTGCTCCTATTGGGGGATTGGATGGTCAAACTCAACCTGCAGGATGCGTACTCCACTGCCCCGATGGCCGAGGATTGCCAACGTTTACTACAGTCCAGTGGGAGTAGACTACATGGCGTTTCAAATGCTTACCCTTCGGCTTCTCATCAGCCCCGTGGTTCTTCACAAAGCTAATGTGGCCAGTGGTTGCTGTCCTGAGAAGCAAAGGGGTGTGTCTGATTATATACTTGGACGGCATACTCATGATGGAACAGAACCCAGGCTTACTCCAGGAAGACCTGGCTTGGACAAAGACATTACTCTTCAATCTTGGTTTCCTCATCAACTGGGACAAGTCGGTCTTAAAACCTTCTCAAGTCTTAGAATTCCTAGGCTTTACCATCGATTCAGTGGGAGGGACTTTCCTGTTACCACCCTCCAAAGTCAAGGCCATCAAGAAGAAAATCCGCAGGACGTTGGCACGACCTGTGCTTACAATGCGACAACTGGCCTTCTCTTGACCTCCCTCCAGGCCATTTTCCTGGGTACACTACAGAGCCCTACAGCGCTTAAAAGCGAAATACCTTAGCTTGGGTCTCTTTTATTTAGACTCAGTGCCTCAATTGCACAGCCAAGGAAGGACTCACTTGGTGGCTGCAGCACATGGAAGTATGGAACGGAAGAGCAATCTTTGGGAAGAGGCCAAATTTCGTGGTAGAATCAAATGCAAGTATGCTTGGATGGGGTGCACGTTGCGGTCCTATTTCCACAGGAGGAAAATGGTCCCCAGACAAACAGGGGTTGCACATAAATTGCCTCGAACTGTTGGCAGGCTCATTTGCAGTTCGGAGTCTCATTGGGATCTCAATCAACTGTTCCAATCTTTTATGTATGGATAATGTGCCAGCAGTCCCCTACATCAACCATCTCGGGAGCACAAGGTCCGTGGTGCTGGTGGAACTATCAAAGGACTTCTGCATAGATCGCAATATCTCAGTACAGCAGAATACATCCGCAAGATGTCAAACATGGTGGCGGATTGGAATTCCAGGTACCTACAGGATGCCAGCGACTTGTAGCTGAATCGTGCCATTTTCCTGCGGCTCCTGTCACTCTGGGGCCCTATGGAGATCAACCTCATCGCATCACGGTTGAACTCCCAACTACCGAAATTCTTCAGCTGGAGTCCAGATCCAGAAGCTTCGGCATCAGATGCATTCCTTCAATGGTGGCCGGACAATCGGCATTACGCTTTCCCCCCTTTCCCCTTGATAGCGCGGACGCTTCTACATCTCAGACGCTATCCCATTCTGGACGGCTCAACCACGGTTCCCTACACTCATGGAAATGTCCATGAATTACCAGAAATTACTTCCAGCCTCACCGGACCTCTTGCTGGATCCCAGCAGAGAATCACACTCCCTGCTATCAGAGGGGCACCTCTAGTTACTGGCACGGCTCCTCTCCAAGGACTCTGATTCATCCCAGATGTTCCACAGTCAACTATTGGGCTCCGGGAACACAGAAATTCTACATTCATACCTGTAATTCATGGACTAGGTACGCTTCATCATGGGATGTCGACCTTGTTCTCTGGCTTTTTGGAGATTGGCCAAAGAATGAAGACCTCTCACTCAAACAACTCACGGCAAAACTGATGTTGTTTTGTCTGATCTCCTGTAAACGGGTGTCAGATGTTCGTGCGTTGGACCTCTCTCTACTTTCATTCACCCTTGAAGGTGTCTCGTTTAATATTTCGAGATGTACGAAAACGTCAATCACCTCAGTTTTCTACCCAGCTTTACGAAAAATGTTAACCTATGTCCAGTGGCATGTCTCAAAGAATACGAGCCCAGGACTTCTATTCGTGATCCATCATATCCTGAATTGTTTTTGGCCCTTCGACATCCGCATCATCCTGTTTCTTCAGTTACATTGTTTCGCTGGGTGAAATGGATTATGAGCGGGGCATCTTCAGCAGACACTTCAGCATATTGAGCACACTCGGTCAGTGGAGCCATGGCGTTTAAGATTTTCTCTAAAGGATGCAGGTTGGAGGACCTCCTCTGGGCTGCTGATTTGACCCGCAAAAAACCCCAAATAAAAACGCTAACTTTGGCTAGCGTTTGTGACTAAGTGGCTACTACAGAAGACTGGAAATACCCCATCTTGAATACCCTGGGTTGTCTACATTTAATAATGGTATGCCATAATGGGGTTAATTTTCATTCCTGGGCTGCCATACGGTCTCAAAAGCAACATGGGCCCAGCAAACCAATCTGGCCAATTTCGATGTGCAAACATGGAAAAGGGGAAAGCCCTACATTTGACACTTGTAAGTTTGCAAAAAAACCTAAAACCTGTATATTGGAGGCACTGCTGTACTCAGGAAATGTTGCTGAATACATACTGGGATGTTCTTTGTCAGTAACACATAACAGGAACTGAGACTCCATGCCTAAAGTACAATGTGAGAGAAAAAAACAAAACACAAAAAATGACTACCCAAAAGTTTAACAAAGACTGATGGTAGAATTAGTGCATGGAAAGTGTTAAAATACCACCATTTGAAATACCCTAGGATAGTGATGGAGAACCCGAGTGCCCAAACCACAGTACATGCCAACTTGTTTTTCCTCTAAGTGCCAATACAGCAATTAAAACTGAATACTGAGGTTTAAGTTTAGAAAAAACAACTGGTACAGTTAATGAAAATCTTTTGTTTTAAAAGAACACAACAACAAATAGTTTAATGATATAAATTATAAATAATGATATAAATTATAGATAAAATTAAGCTTATATTTATTGTATGTATGCAATACATACATACATACAATACATACACACAGACTGCTGAATACAGTCACAGACTGCTGAACACATTCACATACCGACTGCTGAATACATACACACACCGTTTTGGGCAGGCAGGTGCCTACTCTGCATTGCTGCTGACCAGTGCCAGCACCCCCCAGTGATCTATGGCCGCATGCCCACAGAGCGGAATGCGTACAATAGGTTTGCCATCACTGCCCTTGGGTGTCTACTTTTCAAAAATATACGGTTTGATGGGGGTAAATTACATTGGCCGTCTTCAAAAATGTCCTAAATAGGACATGGGTGCATGATGACAGCTGTGAAAATTCCAAGTTGAAAAACTGAAATTCGCACCCTCCAAATAAGGTCTTTTAGCCCCCAGAGAACCCGACACACCTATACATGGGTGGAATCACTGAACTCGGGAGATGTTGTTGAACACATATTGGGGTGTTCTTTGGCAGTAATCCTTAAAGTTCTCAGTACATGTATACTTAAATTGCTATGTGTGTCAAAAAAAATCACCAATTATTTTTTTTTTCATTTGGCATAGATTGGTGGTAAAATGGTTGCATGAAAAGAGTCAAAATACCCCAAGTTTAATACCTTGGGTTGTCTTCTTTTAAAAATATATATACATGAGAAGGGTTATTTAGGGATTCCTGACAGATATCCGTTTTACAATGTAACTTTCATTAATTTTGGAGAAAAAATGGTTTGGAGTGCTACTTGTACTTATTGTCCTATAACTAGTGATGTCCCGAACTGTTCGCGAACGGTTCGCCGCGGACTCATCATTGAGTAAAATTTGACCCTGTATCTCACAGTCAGCAGACGCATTCCAGCCAATCAGCAGCAGACCCTCCCTCCCACCTCCTGGACAGCTCACTAAGAATGCAGCTTCACAATGGATGCTGTCCAGGAGGTGGGAGGGTCTGCTGCTGATTAGCTGGAATGTGTCTGCTGACTGTGAGGTACAGGGTCAAAGTTTACTCAATGATGAGTCCGCGGCAAACCGTTTGGATCATCGCTACCTATCGCTTTAAAAAGAAAAAAAAAAAAAAGGTAAGAACATGTTAACATTGGGTATTTCTAAACTCAGGACAAAATTTTGAAACTTTAGCATGGGTGTTTTTTTTTGCGGTTGTAGATGCGCAACAGATTTGGGGGAGGGCAAAGTTAGAAAAGGTGTGGTTTTTTTTTAAAAATGGCATCATATATTATAAAAAAATTTATAGTAAATTACAGGATATGACAAAAATAATGGTATCTTTAGAAAGACCATTTAATGGCGAGAAAAAAACGGTATAGAATATGTGTGGGTACAGTAAATGAGTAAGAGGAAAATTACAGCTAAACACAAACTCTGCAGAAATGTAAAAACAGCCCTGGTCCTTAAAGGTAAGAAAATTGAAAAACAGTTTGGTTACTAAGGCTTAATATATTGATTTCTTAAATTTGGGCTAAAAAAAGTAGGGGTTGTCTTATACATGGAAAAATACGGTTGTGACGAAATGCCTTTTGTCCCTGGATTGTTAGGTGACAAGCTGCCCTTTGTCCCCGGCTTTTGGAGGAGCCTGATTGCCAGCCTCCTTCCTCATGACTATGGCCCTGGGGTGTATTGCCATTTAAAAAGACTATTTGGGGCTTATTGGCTTCTAAAGACAGTTTCTTCCCATTTGAATCCATGGGAAGGTGTGTTTCTTCCCCTCCCCCATTTCCTGTCTATTGTTCTCCAGCAGGGCGTTGTCCCAGACACACTGCCAAACCAGTTGGAACTGACTGCTTTTGTCCCTCCTTGGTTTCTCAACAGCCCTTGCTATGCTTTACCCCATGGAAAATCTACTCTGTTCATGGGATCTGAGAGCTGTTCACCTAGATTGGGCGCTCAGATCCGAGCTATCTGAGGATAGGTTAAATGTGGGGGTTCTGTGTAATAAAATAAGAATTATGTATTTTTATGTACTTTTACGTATTTTGCTGTTAGTGTTAAATGTAGATATTTTCTGTACCTGGAGATAATTGAGTTTACTGCAGTGCCTTAAGCCAACTATCTCCAGGATGGAGAGGAGGGATTTCATTGTGTATGTGAGAGTGTTATCATGTTAATTAGTGTTCCCATTGGTTTGTGTCCCTTTTGTCACAGTTTACCACCAGGTCCAGGGGGTGTGCCTCTGACCTGAAAACTTGTATATAAGGAGTAATAAACGCTCATTGGAGTCAGATCATCTTGTACCTTCATGAAGTTTCGGCTCATGTTTGGGGGATTGGAGAAACTACACTCTGGGGATTGCTATAATCACTATACTCCCCAGGGTATAATCACTAAGCTCTGCTAAGAGCTTGTTCCTGTTCCTGCTCTCTGGAATTGGGAGAGAGGTCGACCTGCTGGAAGCTGGACCCTGGTCCTGGGTCCAGAGTGGGTGGAGACGGCGAGACCCCAACCAAGCTGCGGCGGTTCGTGGGGTCTGCAGTGGTTATGGTGTCAGGCAGAGTGCTTGGAGTCCTCGGAAAGCACTAGGAGCATCCGTCGGCGGAAGGTACCCGGTCCGTTACAACGGTATATAGGGAAACAGAGCCTGTTGCAAGCAGACACAGACCTGAAACCGTAATGTGTTTTTGTTTTGTTTTTTTGCAACCAGGAACATCAACCAGTATAACTACACTGAACAAAATTCTAAACGCAACAGTTTTGCATTTGCCCCTATTTTTGATGAGCTGGACTCAAAGATCTAAGAATTTTTCTATGTATAAAAAAGGCCTATTTTCCTCAAATATTGTTCACAAATCTGTCTAAATCTTTGTTAGTGAGCATTTCTCCTTTGCCAAGATAATCCATCCACCTCACAGGTGTGACATATCACGATGCTGATTAGACAGCATGATTATTGCACAGCTATGCCTTAGGCTGGCCCCAATAAAAAGCCACTCTAAAATGTGCAGTTTTACTGTATTGGGGGGGGGGGACATGTTCGGTGAGTATGCTAGCCATGTAAGAACTGGGATGTTTTCACGTTCCAGGAATTGTGTACAGATCCTTGCAACTTGGGGCCGTGCATTATCATGCTGCAACATGAGGTGATGGTCATGGATGTATGGCACAACAATGGGCCTCAAGATCTCATCACGGTATCTCTGTGCATCTAAAATGCCATCAATAAAATGCACCTGTGTTTGTTGTCCATAACATATGCCTGCCCATACCATAGCCCCACCACCACCATGGGCCACTCGATCTACAACATTGACATCGGCAAACCGCTCACCCACATGACGCCATACATGCTGTCTGCCATCTGCCCTGTACAGTGAAAACCGGGATTCATCCATGAAGAGAACACCTCTCCAAAGTGCAAGACGCCATCAAAAGTGAGCATTTGCCCACTTAAGTCTGTTACGACGACAATGAACTGCAGTCAGGTCGAGACCCGGATGAGCTACGGTTTCTGACAGTTTGTGCACAAATTCTTTGGTTATACAAACCGATTGGTGCAGCAGGTGTCCGGGTGGCTGGTCTCAGACGATCTTGGAGATGAAGATGCTGGATGTGGAGATCCTGGGCTGGTGTGGTTGCACTTGGTCTGCGGTTGTCAAGCCAATTGGATGTATTGCCAAATTCTATCAAACGCCTTAAGGTAGAGAAATGAACATTAAATTCACAGGCAACAGCTCTGGTGGACTTTCCTGCAGTCAGCATGCCAATTGCACGCTCCCTCAAAACTTGCGACATCTGTGGCATTGAGCTGTGTGATAAAACTGCACATTCTAGAGTGGCCTTTTATTGTGGCCAGCCTAAGGCAAACCTTTGCAATAATCATGCCGTCTAATCAGCATATTGATGACTCATATCAACACTCTGATTGGTTGATTGAAAGCAACAAATCAGATAGTTATGTGTCAAATAACACAGCGTGGGAAAATTTCAAAGAACTTTCCCACGCTGTGTAAAATGACACAGAGCACTCTGAGTGGTTGGATTTCAAGCCTTCCAATTAGAGTGCTGTGACAGGTAAATGTAGAGACTTACCTGTCAGGCTCTTCATTTACCAGTAGGAGCAATCTGATTGGATGGCTTAAACCAACCAATCAGATTGCTCTGAGCCTAATTGCATGGCGGGGCAAGGCATTATAAGCATTCCCCCGACCTGCGAAGCTCAGCCTGCGCAGTGCACTCCATGGGTAAAGATGGAATACTTTTTCAGCATCAGGGTTTTTTTTTTCCCCATCTGATTTTTTATTTAATTTTTTCAAAGCGCGACGGGTATTATGCTTTTTTATTTAGCCTTTTTGGGGCTGAAAAAAAGATTTAAGAAAAAAGAAGACATCAAATCTTTTTTTTTACCAGTACTTAGTTATTGTTCCCCCCTCACTATTGTTAGCATGAGGCGGGCAGGTAGGAGTTTATTAATTTTAGGGGGGAGTGTGGTGACTAGGGGTTTTAAGGCCCCCACTCGCCGCTCAGTGGGTGAGGGCCCGGAGGGAGGACAATAGGTGTGACTCTCCCTTCCCCCCCGAAGTAATTCAAGTCCCCCCCACCCCCCATTCTACTTTAGTGCCCCCACTGCTCAGGGGTGGGTGCCGGGGGGAGGACAATAGCTCCCCCCTGCCCTCCTATTTTGATTTAGGGCCCCCACCCACAGCTCAGGGGTGGGGGGGACACGATAGGTTCCCCACATTGTCATCCAGGGCCCCCACCTGTCGCTCAGAGGTGGGCAATAGGTTCTCCTTCAGTTTAAAAGCCCCCACTCGTGACACTGTTTAGCAGACATGCCCCTACTCGTGGTATAGCGAGTAGGGGCAGAAAGTAAGGTCTTTCAGTCTTTAGCTCCCTAATACAGTGCGAATTAGGGAGTTATCTACTTACTCATTCCCATCCATTGACTGGCTAAGTGACTTACATTTTATATGAACGTATTACTTGATTTTGTAAGTGTTGCAAATGCTTACAGCTGAATTCTGGTTATGTGTGTATACTTTTTATTTACACTGGTATACAGTGTAACGTTCTTCCACTGGGTATATTAGTACTTCGGCTATTCGGCATTCCGAAATTCGGCAATTCAGCTATTCGGAAGTATCCAAATGTCCGAATTGTCCATAATTCGTCAGAATTAAAATTCGGAACAAAACGAATTGCACATGTCAACTTGTTAGTTCGTCCAGATCCTTCTCACTGTTGCAACAAAGGAAGAGTACAAGTGAACAGCAGCTGTGTAACGTGTCATGGTCACATGATAGCATGGAAATATTTTCTGCATCCTCACAATGGCAAAAAATATTGGATAAAACACTGCATTATATACACAACCCCATTTGTATTGTATAAACTTTCCTGCCCGTGTGGGTTTGCATATATTTGAGAAACTGACACCCTTAAGGAAGCGTATTAGACTAAAACACAGACTTTGTAGAATTTTCTGCAGCAGTGGCAAATTCGAAAATTGAACATAGAACCCTGAAACTAGCACCATAAAAATGAGAGCCAAATGTGTGTGTGTCCTTATACCCCTGGAAAAGTCTTCCATAGATAAAGCACACTGGGTGAGAGGCTCTGGCTTATTCTTCGTTTTTATATAACATGCATATTTTGTGTCAGGATACAATAATATGCCCAACACGCAGAACTTAAGTAAATTAAAAAGAAAGGCCTAAGAGTATTACCGGACCTTAGAACGGCCAGATTTAACATATAAAAAGAAAAGCACAAGACAGGCTGAGGTCAAGAATACAGATATTACGTAAACAGATTGTAAACCAAAGGTCAAGGAATATAGAAGTCAGAAAAGTAAAGAGCCAAGCCAAAGTTCAAGGGATACAGAGATCGGAATAGTCAGTAAGAAAGCCAAGGTCAAATTACACAAGAAACAATACCAGAAACGCGCTCTCGGATAACCAGAATGGAAACCACGACAGGGCACAGAGAAATGAAGGAAATTTTTTTTAAATAGCCTAAGGTGCTCCTTGATTGGCTGCAGGGGACCATGTGTCAGTGAACGTTTGTGTGTGACGTCACACACACGTTTCCAAAGTTAGGCACTCATAGGGTTAAGTAAAAAAATTAAAGGGTTCCTATTTGCAGCGGCCGGCGTCTCTAATAATTACAGACCCGGCTGATGTGTGAGGGGAGGAGTGCCTGTCAGAGGACAGCGGGCATCATAGGAGGAGGTAAGAGATTGGCGGAATTCCCATTACCACGTGGCAATGCCGCAACAACGAGATGCGTCCGCCGGGTCGCAGTCCGCTCATGGGCAGGAGCAGACTCGGCGGGCACTTGGAGACAGGGTAAGTATGCGGCAGCATTCCCCTTGAGATGTGGCGACGTGACACTTTGAAATTGTGAATGTGATATACAGAAATTCTATGCTGTGAATAAAGTTAATATGCAAGTTATGAGCCTTTTGGTGTCTTATACACGTTTAAGGGGGCAGGAGTGAAATTATGTTCTGGTTGTAGGCGACGTGTCACTTTGAAATGGTGAATGTGATATACAGAAGTTCTTTGCTGTGAATAAAGTTCATATGCAAGTTATGAGCCTTTTGGTGTCTTATACACGTTTAAGGGAGCTGGAGTGAAATTATGTTCTGGTTGTACCTCTGTTTGAGCACTTACTTACTATATATGCTATGTACTTTTAAATGCATTTTCTGCAATATGTTTCAACTATTAATTTGTAAGTGTTTTTAACATCTACAATACTGATTTAGCCAATAAATAATGCAGAGTTAGATTTTACAATGTTTTTTTTCCTATGGATTTTACATAGGTTTCATTATGAAGCAGAGTTTTATCCTAGATTACCTTTTCAGTATATCACCCATACAAATTATTTTATGTAATTAGAATGGAACTCTATCACTTGCCTCTACATATGACATTCCTGGTTGCTTAAAGGAACACTATAGTGCCAGGAAAACAAACTCGTTTTCCTGGCACTATAGTGTTATTAGGTCCCCCACTCCCTCCTTCAGCTGCAGGGTTAACTAAGTGGTCTTGGTGCCTATAGTGGTCCTTTAAATACTAGGTCCCCAATGCTCTATGACGAGCAATGGGGTGGACATCGGTGGAGTTGACCTTGCCTCCTCCTTTCAATTCCAAATGGGGGACGGGACCTCTTTCTGACTATGATCAAGTACACTAAAGCTTTAGGAATACAAATTCTATAGTGATGCTTTCTGATGTTGCTTTTGTGTTACATGAATGAGTTTAAACTGGTAAGTGCTGTCGAAGCACCTCTAGGGGTGGTCCTGCAATGTAAGAGGATGCGAGGGAGGCAAGGGGAGTGATAGTGCCAGGAATAGAGCTTTGTAATCTTGGCACTATGTTATCCATTTAAGTCCTAAATTAAAGTAGTTATTCTTTTGTCCTAATCCTGTTAGTTAATGGATACACCAATACCCTGCACCTTTTAGAAGAATATACATAAGGAATAACATACAGATAGAATGAATTTGCTTTATTTTTACCTGGAGGAGGACCGCCAAATTTACGTTGACCATTTTCTTGTACTATGTGATAGCCAGTCTTTTTCATTAAGGAAAGCAAAGTCGTTTCACTTAGAGTTCCAGTTCTCGCTTTGCCACATCCATTAAGTACTTCTGAGCATCCATCACTTACGGCTGCAAACTCATCTAGGAAATAAAATAAAAGTTTCAATAAAGTACACATATGAAACTATGTCATTTAGTCCCTAATCATCACATTCTGATAAAGTGAGGGCCAATTCTGATACTTTCAAGGCAAAATAACTCAAATGTAAATGCAGTAGTTGGATTTTTTTCCCCCCCACACTGCTATTTTGGTACGTTTCTCAAAATCAGTTTTTAATGCACCCCAGTTCCTGCATGAAACTAAACCCCATTGCATAATCTGTTTAATATTCAGATCAATTATATTCCTTGCCATGTCATCTAAATGTCTTCTAGATTTGCCATCCTCTACTATTGGCACTGTAAGATGGTATCAACAGCACAGCACAGTTCTGCAAGGGGCGTTCCTGAAACAGTGCCTGCATTAGTATATGGATCAGCCGAACTGCTATCTTCGCAGTGGTGGCTGAAAGACACAGTTTTAAATCAGGGGTTCCCTTAGGAGGTCATTCCATGAAGAATACCTTAAAAGGACAGTCTTGGCACAAAAACAACTTTAGAGGACAGCATTACCTAAAATGTATTTTTTTTTTTAGTAATAATCCATTCATCACGTTTAAAAGGAAATAAATTTATTAATATAGTATAAAAGTATGATAGAAATCCATCCCTATCTTTTTTATACGACTGGATCCTTCAGCCATATACATGCTCCCTGGGTCAAATAGCTTTTGAAAACTGACAGTTTGTCTCCCTGGTCTACTCTGCTTTTGTGAAGATCTATTGGTGAGCAACTCGCTTTTCAAAAATGGTCTGGTCCAAGGCGCATATATATTGCTGAAAGATCCGGACATATACTAAAGGTATGGATGATTTTTATCCCCTTAATTTCTTTACATGAAAATTAGTTGAAAAACTCTATTTCCTTTCAAAACGTGGTGAAAGGATTATATAAAAAATAATTCTGAGGTGATAGTTGTTCTTTAATAGATGCCACAGTCATTCTTGTTGTCAATTCACAGCATTAAGGTTGAAGTCAATCAGCTTCCCATACCGTGTCTGCACACTTTCCCATAGCAGTGTTCTTTTCAACAGCCAGAATTCTCTCCATCACAGTCCAGATCTCCTCCTTGACAAGGTCATGAAATAACTTTTTTTATGTCACTTAGATCTGCTATATCACCTTTAGTGGCTGGGGTTTTGTGGTCTTGCATAAGTGGTTGAGAAGAAAGGAACTTCTCTATGTGCGCCATTTTCTTCCTATATGTAACATAAAATCGCCAATATTTTGGGTAAGAGTGCAGTTATGCACCTGAGACCTGCATCACTTTGGTCTTACGCTAAAGTTTTAGCAGGTAAATATGTTTTTTTTCCTTTTAATATTTACCTGCTGCTTTCTTTCCATACCAGGGAGGGAGAGGGGAGGCTGAAGAAACTCCCCTAGCTAAGAGTTGTGCACAATACAATTTGACAAAGTATATAGTAAATTTATAAAAGTTTACTACTACTATAAAGGACTATAAAACATTAACTACTATAACATACAAGTTTTTCTTACTTTAAAGGAACACTATAGCATTAGGAATATAAATGTGTATTCCTAACACTATAGAGCCCTAGTCACCATTTAGGTGACTAGGGCCCCGTTCTGCAGCAAATAAATGGTTAATTTACCATTTATTTGCTTACCTTAATCCAGCGCCGGTGACTTCTCCTCCTCCATCGATGTCAGCTTCCGAGTGGAGCCGAATGCGCATGTGCTACCAGTGGCACGCGCGCATTCAAACCCGCCTACATGAAAGCATTACTCAATGCTTTCGTATGGGGATCTTTTTTGACGCTGGACTTTGTGAGGATTTCTAGTGTCAAATAAGTGCGATTTACTCCGTGTAAATCGCGGAAGCAGCCCGTAGTGGCTGTCAGTGAGACAGCCACTAGAGCAGTTAGGGCGAACCTTTTTGAGCCCGAGTGCCCAAACCGCAATAAATGACAACTTTTTTTTCCTCAAAGTGCCAACACGGCAATTAAAACTGAATACTGAGGTTTAAGTTTAGATAAAAAAACAACTTGTACAGTTGTCCAAACTAATTAACATCTTTAGTTTTAAAAGAACACAACAACAGAGAGTTCAACGATTCAAAAAAATAATAATAAAAAAAACGGTAATAGCGGCGCCCATGCACTCAGATGTTTTTACTCATTTTTTTTTCCCTACACTGTGCCAGTTTTGCTGCGGCTGGTCCCACCTCTACAGTTGAGATTATCAATCTTTATGATTTCAGCTAAGCCAACGCTTTCCTTTAGGAAAGCATTGGGAGGATTTTGTGCATGCAGAGCAAATGTGTCAATCCGCATCTCCTCATAGAGACGCATTAAATTAATGAATCTCTATGAGGAACATTTAGCGCCTCTATGCACAGCTTGGAGACACTGAACATGGGTGCTGCACATGGTGCAGCAGTGACCCCGGAACGTCTGAGTGACTGTCACTAGAGGTGTTACTAAGCAGCAATGTAAACACTGACGTTTCTCTGAAAAGGCAATGTTTACACTGAAAAGTCGGCATGTTTACACTGAAAAGACACCAGAACAATTACATCAAGCTGTAATGGTTCTAATGACTATAGCGTCCCTTTAAGAATTGTATTTTTCTTGTTGAAAATAACTGGCTCCTAACTTTTTTAGCTGCCTCCTAAATTCCAAACGAATTTGTCAAGCCCTAGGTTAAAACAATTATGAAGAGTCCTGCCAAAAAATTTATATACAGTGAGGGAAAAAAGTATTTGATCCCCTGCTGATTTTGAACGTTTGCCCACTGACAAGGAAATGATCAGTAAATAATGTTACTAGTAGATGTACTTTAACAGTGAGAGACAAAATAGTAAAAGAAAAAATTCCAGAAAAATGCATGTCAAAAAAGTTATAAATTGATTTGCATGTCAATGAGTGAAATAAGTATTTGACCCTACAACTTAGTACTTGGTGGCAAAACCCTTGTTGACAATCACAGAGGTCAGACGTTTCTTGTAATTGGCTTAGGGATGGGGTGACAGAGTGACTGAGGAAAAAGGTGACTGGCGACAGTGACTGAGATAGAGGGTGACAGAGTAACTTCGTGACAGTGACTGCGGGAGGGGGTGACTGGCGACAGTGACAGAGTGCTTTCTTGAGCAGGGGGACCTTGCGGAATCTGCAGGGTTGCAGTCCTTAACATTGTAGTGTGTTACCAAAAGGGATGCACCGAAATGAAAATTCTGGGACGAAATCGAAACTTCAGGATGCCCTTACTCAAAAAAAATGTTTTTCCCCACAAAAAATGGAGGGTGTGACAGTGACTGAGGGAGGGGGTGACAGAGTGATAGTTACTGAGGAAGGGAGTGACAGTGACTGAGGGAGAGGGTGACAGAGTAACTGAGGGAGGGGGTGACTGGTGACAGAGGGAGGGGGCAACAGAGCGACTGATGGAGGGGGCGACAGAGCAACTGAGGGAGGGGGTGACCGACTGACAGAGGGAAGGGGTGACAGAGTGACTGATGGAGGGGGTGAGTGGTGAAAGTGACTGAAGGAGGGGGTGACCGTGATTGAGAGGGAGTGACAGTGACTGAGAGAGGGAGTGACATATTGACTTAGGGATGGGGTGACAGAGTGACTGAGGGAAAGGGTGACAGAGTGACTGAGGGAAAAGGTGACTGGCGACAGTGACTGAGGTAGAAGGTGACAGAGTAACTGCGTGACAGTGACTGCGGGAGGGGGTGACTGGCGACAGTGACAGAGTGACTGGGTGACAGTGACTGCAGGAGGGGGTGACAGAGTGACTTAGGGAGGAAGTGACAGAGCAACTGAGAGAGGGGGTGACAGAGTGACTTAAGGAGGAAGTGACAGAGCGACAGAGATGGGGTGAAAGAGGGAGGGGGTGACAGAGTGACTGAGGGAGGGGGTGAGTGGTGACAGTGACTGAGGGAGGGTGTTAGTAATAGAACAGAAATAGTGTTTCCCTGGTGGTCCAGTGTCCTGTCTCTCCAGTCTGTAGCTCCGCCAGGTGTGTGCTGCAGACTGTGCTGTATCTCACGATATCTAGAAGTCAGAGTGTTCTGATTGGACAGAGATCGCGAGATACAGCACAGGGCCTCCTCCAGATTTTTGGCAGATTTTACCCATTTTGGTCAAAAATTTAGTCAGCCCAAATTTCAGTGCATTCCTAGTTACCAATTGTTTTCTTGGTGACTATGGTCCCAACTGCCTTGAGATCATTAACAAGATACTCCCGTGTAGTTCTGGGCTGATTTCTCACCGTTCTCGTGATCACTGAAACTCCACAAAGTGAGATCTTGCATGGAGCAGAAGACCGAGGGAGACTGATAGTTATTTTGTGTTTCTTCCATTTGCAAATAATCGCACCAACTGTTGTCACCTTCTCACCAAGCTGCTGTGACAACCTGTTCCATTCTGTTCAGATGTGTGACTTTGGCTTCTGGAATCCAGTACTCTTTTTACAATTCTTGTTTAGTTTGTCTTGGTTTTTCTGGTTTATATTCTATGTCTGGGTTTTCTGAGCTCATTCATTTATTCCGTTCCTGGAATTCCCAGTCTCCTGAATTCCTTTAAATGTTTGGTTTTTGTTGCCACACCCACTCCTTTGCCATTAATCCATTTGTTTCATTCTGTTTCTGCAGGCAGTGCTTTCATTTCCTCTGCACCATTCTTTGCAGGTAAGTACTGTGTGTGTTTATTGTTGTTTAGTCATGCATATCTAGGCAGTTAGGACCCACCGTAATTGGAGTACTTTGGCGCAGTGGTGGGCTGCATACATCTTGGCCATTTATGTATGTCTAAATCTCCAATGTTTATTACATATATAGTACTTAGTTATGTCTCCTCTTGTTTTGTCTTGTATCTCTTGTCTTGTTTTATTTGTCTTGTATTCACAGTTCATGTACAGTCCTGACCTGTCCATGTTCTGTTCATGTTTCCCTCATGTATTGTGTACATGTTTTGGGTTCTGCTTTCTGTCCTGCTCCGGTTCTGGGTTCTTCTAGTCTTGTCTTGTATTCTTGTTTGGTGCCTGTTCTAGTCTTGCCTTGTTTCTAGTACTGGTTACATATCTGCATTACATCCTGCTCCTGGCTTCCGCTAAAGCTGCATCAGGACACTGGTATGTGGCCGCACAAACGCTGGTGCTCAACACCAGGGAGCGTGTGGTTACCCTGCACCAGGCCCTGATGGTCCATTACCATGCTGAGACTCCTATCATCTACATCAGGCACACAGCCGTCCCGGTCTTCAGACCCCCACCCATGACATATGGCCGTAGGCATACTTGGATCTCGTGGACTGGACTCTGCAGCTTTCTTGACCTGCTGTTTGTATCTGCCTGGGAAATCTGCATTCTAGAGATCCTGTATCTGGACCGGTCTGCTCTAGATGACTTCATTTTCTGTTCAATTTGTCTGATACTTGTCCTAGAGGAGGTTTATCTGCTAAGCAGCTTGTTGTTCTCTACAGCTGTCTTCTTGTGATGCGATGGTCCGGATTCTGTTTCGTGGCAGTGCTCCTGTTTTGAGTGGACCTTCTTTCCTGGCTGGTGGTTCCTTTGCTAGAGATCTCGCCGAAGGATTTGGAGTTGTTCCGGAAGGCATTGTGAGCCTAGATCTCAACTCCAGGTTATCAAGGCTAAAGGTGAGAATACCTTGCCTTTGTAAGTCATGAAGACTTAGTTGCGGGATCCTTGCTCTTTCCTGGTCTCTGTAAAATACTTTTTTCAAGACTGAAACATTGTGTGAATTTGCAATTGCTTAATAAAGCAACTGATGAAATTTACTTTGAAAGACTCCTGAGTGCTCTCTGCTGGTATCGTATACAATTTGGTTGGAGACAGCACCGGAGCATCGAGCTTCTTTATTCTGAAAAGTACATCAACGTTTCAGCTCCCCTGAAAGCTCCTTAGGGGAGCTGAAACGTTGATGTACTTTTCAGAATAAAGAAGATTTTGATTTGGAGTGCCGGTATTTTCTCACTTTATATTATCTAGCAACCAGAGCACCAGGTATTTACTATTTTTGATTGGAGTGCAGGGGTTAAATATATTTATATATATATATATATATATACACACACACACACATATACATAATTACATAAATGTACACGTAAATTTCAAATACAGTATATACTCAAGTATAAGCCGACCCAAATATAAGCCGAGGCACCTCATTTTACCACAAAAAAATGGGAAAACGTATTGACTCGAGTATAA